GCCCGCCGGGAAACCCTCGGGACGGCCGAGCCGGGCGCGCCGGGGTCGGGGTCGGTGCCGGCACCGCTTAACAATCCCATAAAAAGGTCTCATTACCAACAATCTTCTAAGACAGGAATTGCTCTTACTGCTGCAACTGTTGTGTGAGCAACGTGAGGCTTGCTCAGATGTAGAAGTTTGTACTGAATTTGCAGACGGCTTTGTGCAGCCGCGGGAGCTCCTGGCCGGGGAGGGAGCAGCGCTGGCACCGTTGCTGTGCGCTGGCTGGGTTTGAAGGTGTTGACAGATCTGGAGCTCTGAGAGTGCTGGTCGAGCAGGCAGAGCTGCGCGTTTAGAAGCTCGACTTCAGCTTCCTGGTTGTGAACACACGGAACTGCTATGTGAGTAGGACATGGGGAGCTTTTGTTGGCACGCCAAGCCCAAATAGCTTTTAATCATTAACTCTGGAATAAGGTGTTCCTTTTCTTGTGAAGCAATTCAGTGTCTATGACAAGTGTAGAGCTTTCACCTTTTGTATGTAAGTATGTAATTAACCTTAATACAAATAGTCCTTGTGACAATGGTGGTAACTCTTTGGGCAAAGATACTTCACTGATCAAAGCCTGACCTTTCAGGGTTGTTTTTTTTTGTTTGGGTTGTTTGTTTGTTTTTAGTGCCCACAGCAGTTTCAGGTAGTTCAACAGGATGTTCCAGCATTAGTATTTTAAAATGCCAGCTATGTGTATTCTTAAAGGTTACAATCTTGCAGATAACTTGACCTGTTTCAAATGGGGCTGTGGGTCTATAAGCTAAGTTGTCTTTGCCAGCCTGTCAACATGCAGCAGTACCCTGTAGTCCCTGGACCTCCTGCCTGATGCTTCCCCCGGGCTCCCTGGGTGCACAGGCCTGGTGTCCACTCCTAGAGATGCCCCTTCTGCCGCCGTGGCCACTGCCACCAGCGACGTGATCAGCTGTGCTTGTTGCTTCATGCCAAGACTAAAGGCAGTTGTTGTCCTTCAGCCCTCCACTGTAGGGACTGCACTTTCAAGTCATGCATCTGCACCTGTAACAGGCTTTGTTTAAAAAACAAAACAAAACAAAAAAACCAACACCCAAAGCCACTCTTTTAGGGGTTAATGCCACGCTGAGTACAAAGTTAATACAAGACCTGATCATACCTTCTTCTGTCTTAAATTTATGGTGCCTCAGAAGTGGGGTGCCAAGAAAAAGTCTCTGTGAACATCAGCTGAACAGTGCCAGAATGATCTGCTGAGCAACCGGAGAACAACTTACTATCTCATTTCTTATCACTAATACAGAGTAGTCTAGGGAGCTAAATTAGTCCCCGGACACTTAGGGGCAAGGTCTACGTCTCAGTTTCAGGTTGTGTGTCAGCAGCTTCTGATTGCCGTTAGGTGATTATGGTAACATTTGGTATGATTGTGTAGCAGCTCATAGCTGCCCTTCTTGGAAGAGAGTGGAGGGACCTCTTTAGCTGTAGCAGCTGATGCGTACTTCCTTGTGTATCTGTGATGGGATTAGCAAGCCTGAACAGTCTTTACTCAAAGCCAGGACCACCTTTACCTGTCTTGTGTGTGTGTCAGAGCCGTGTTAATGCTTTTGTCTGTCTTGGACAATACAGCCAGCAGCATTAACTCAACACTTAGTTTTGTTGCTGTGATTAGTGGAAGGTGAGACGTGTACCACTCTCAGCAAGAGACTTGTCTGAATGCATGACCTCTGGGAGCAGTTAGCTCAGGAAGCAGTGAGAGTGATGCAGCACCATCAGCATCACGTACTGTCAGTGCCTCTCATAGCTCTAGGTCTGAAGAAAAGAAGTAAGTGTTCGGCGGTGGTGTGGGCTGAGCGCCGCCGTACGGGAACCTTGCTGGTACCATTTCTGTAAGGGAAGCTGGCACCCTCCTGGCACATGAACACTTTGATAGCCCAGCACTAGAGCTGATTCAGGCGTGGTGACAAAACCTCATGTTATTAGCCTTTGATACCAGAACAGAGCTCCACTTGCTTGTTTCCCTTTAAGAGTAACAGTCTGTCTGAATTTTAGATGCCTTAGTTATGCCTGTAGCTAAAAGTTCTGTTTCATCAAGAGTCTGTAGTCTCTCGGTAGAAATCTAGTCAGATGAGGGATTTACTTTAAGAAGAAACTTGAAAACGGTTTTGGTTATACCCTCTGCCTTTCCCCACACCAGAGACAACCTGAGATCATGAGGCTTTCCCTGTTACCACTGAGCGGATGCCTGATGCCTCGGTGGCCGTTGGCTTCGGTGAGGCTCTGGGTTTTTACCTGGTTTGAGTATGGCATGTCATGGACTCTAGAAAGAGGTACAGAGCAAGGCAGATGCTTTTTATCTGAGATAGGAGCAAGAATGTAGAGAACTCATTGCTTTCTTAGTTCTTAGGGCAAAGGTTTTCCTGCTGCTTGATCTTTTTTTTTCCAGGAGGGAGGGAAGAGTGAGGGATTGGAGAAAACAGCCCTCCTCCTCTCCTTGCATGGTTTACTTCATTAAATCATCAGCCAACAGGCTGACAGTGTACTTGCTAAGGTCTTGTTCTACACTGGCGTCCTGAGGCAGCAGGGCACAAGAATGAAAATGCTTCCTGAGCATGTTGGGAATCCTGCGCTTGTCCTTCTGTGGAAACAGTAGGACGATGTGGAGCACACAGTAAAATGCCTGTGTAGCTTTGTCTGCCCGTGCTATTGCTGCCACTAGCAGAGAGCACTGATGGTGAATTACAGCTTTGACTCTCACTGATCGGGACACTTTTCTGTGCCGGGTGGGCACTGTGCTTCAAGGTTTGTGTGGGAGTCGGCAGCACTGGCCTTGGTGCACGAGTGGAATACCATCGTGAGCTGGGAGTCAGGCAGAGGAGGTCGTCCCTGGTGCGGTAGGTGCAAAGTCCAGGCTTGCTGTGTCACCCTTCTGGTTTCTGTGGGGTTGGTGTCGGCTCCCCTGGTAGATCTGGTGTGGTAATCAACGGGCTTGCTGTTGAACCAGTGCCTGGTAGTGTGGCTGCAGGACCTTGTCCGGTGTCCTTCTGCTCCAGTGCTGTGTCTGAGTGCTTGCCTGTTACATCTCCTGTCCTTTCTGGGAGCGCACACAGCCTTTCCGTGTGGAGACGTGCTTTATTTTTACCCTCATTTCACAAACAGCTGGATTGCTCTGTGTGTTTGTTTCTTTTGCCCATTCCAAGCCTGCGTGAATGGATTAAGGTAATCTCTCTCCGTTGTTCCTGGCGAGGGGATTCTCGCCTACCGTGAAACTGTGCTGGCAGCAGACCGATGGTATTTGAGTGTGCCTCCTTTGCTCTGAGAAGAGCAGCTGCCAGAGGACTGGGGACTGACAGCTGTGTATGGCACTATAGTCTCCTACAGTGTACTGGCTGTAAGGGGAAGCATGCTCAAAAGAGGAGAAAATACAGTAACTCTGAGTCGGGAGAATGCTGGAGATCATGTGAGAGCATGAGAAGCAGTGGTAGAGAGTGTCTCATGTCTGTTTTTAGGAAGTACTTAATGACACAAGGTGTTCACAACGTCCTCAAAGTTGCACTTACATGGGAGGAATGCTCTTCACCACTTCATAGTTGGGGAAAACATGGTGAAGGGCAACGTCTTGACATTTATGTATGTGCAGCTATGGTCAGAGGTGAACAGCTGTGTCCTTGGTGTGTACAGGTCATGCGTACTGCCTATTCAGACTCTGTCATTTCTGCGGCAGACAGTGCTGCTACTGTAGGTGACAGTGCAAGACACACTCTTTTCCTGGCATTTATAAAGCACAGCTCATACCCTGATAATCGGCCTCCATGGTCGCAGAGTAAATCAGAGACAACTTGCAAACCCGCCAAAAAGCTGTTACTTCTTCCTTTTCCCTCTTCCCTGCAAACTTATGTGCCTCTCAAACTGCTTTCTCTGTTACTGTAGGTCTTCTTGAGCTGAAAGGATGAAAATTGGCAATTGGAAAGTCACTGTCCTAAGCTTCATCCTAACTTCTGGGGTCCCAGTGGATGTCTTTGGGTGTACAAGCCTGTGAGAGTGTCCCCTGTCCCCTTCCATGATTTAGACAGCAGCTTGGAGCATGCATCATTGTAAGGTTTACATTATTTCAGCACTGGCGATGACACTGTCCCTTTCCTAGTTGGTGCAGAGGGGTTAATTGCACAATGGAGCTGCCTGTCTGAAAAGGTCCTGAATCCTGGATCCCCTCCCACCCTGAGGGTCTCTTCCTGCTCCCTCCTTTCGTGCTGGGGCAGCAGTCCTGGGGCTCACTCATGCCAGATCAGTCCCTGCCCTCCCCACTGTCACCTGTTTCCAGTAGTATCAGCCAGCCCCTGACTTGCCCTGTGTCTGACCTGCTCTATCCCTTTTTGCATTGCTGTGATTCCAGAGCGGGATGGTCGGCCACCGGAGCTGCAATGTCGTCCCTGACGACGTCCAGTGAGGGAGAGATCTCCACTCCCAGGTTTGTTGTTGGTTCCAGGGATGATGAGACAGACTCTCTGGGATCAAACATGAAGACAGACGAAACCGATTTCTTTGAAGATGATGAAGAGGAGGAGTCGGTAAGGAGTTCCCAGTGTTCTGGGTTGGAGCATCTGTGCAGAATTTCTGTCCCTCAGCCAGGGTTTGCCCGGTCGCTGCTGGTTGGCTGCGTGGCACAACTGTGGGGAGCGACAGTGTCGTTTCTGACAGGACGTGTTGCATTGTCGTGCTGCTGTACTCGATGCTTCATGCTGCAGTAGATTCTAGCCTGTTCGCTTGTAGGTCTTTTTCAGGTACAATAGTGGATTTCTTTGTCCTAGCAACTTAACCCTGACACTCCTGTAACCCTTTCTGTTTCACCAGTGAAATTTTGAGGAAAACTCTGGGAGCTGTGGAAAGGGAAAAGGTGTGTCTGCAGAGAGGAAGCATTTACTCTTTTCTGTAACCTCCAGGAACAGGATGCAGAAAGGAGAATGATCTCCAGCTCCTGACTGCTTTTGGCCACTGTTCAGTGTTATGTTAAATGTTACATGGGCTGTTCTGCATAGTGGACGTGGATGCTGCAGGGACACTGCTGCTGGTTGTGTGAATTGCTGGGACCACATGCCAGTGCAGCGATTGTGTCCATTGCCTCTGTACCCTGAGTCTCCATTGCAAGTGGGTTGTTGGCCTAGGAGTCCACATGGGCTCCCCTCAAACCCAGCAGAGTTGTGTACCTTGATGCTCAACAAAGAGCAGTTTATCAGATGTGGTGAAGGATTTGGAAGCCCTTTCACTTTCCGGGTGTTATTTTTGCTGTGGAACCTCCTTGGCTTTGCAAGTCAGTGCAGTAACTTCTGTAGTCTCAGCTTACAGTTTGAAGCTGTTTGTGCTGTGCAACCCACAGTCCTGTGTGTATCCCTTCAGAAGATCCCACTGCATTTAATCTTGCTTGGGCCAGAGTTAATCTGTCAGGAAAACATCCAGTCTGGGGTTTCTAGACACTGATGGAAGATCCACCACAGACCTTAGCCTGCTCCGCTGTTAGGGTTACCAATGCTTTTTGAATGCACACCTTCTCTCTTGACTTACTGAACTTCGTCCCACTGGATGTTGTTGTACCTTTGACAGATACATGGAAGAGCACTTGGTACTGTTTCTCTTCTACTCGTAGCTACTATTACTGTTGTAATCTCCCCTTCATTTTCTCTCAAATACGACAATCGGACAGAGCTCCTGGACTTTCTTGCTATAAAACTTTTGCGGCTCTTCTCTGAGCCTGCCTAAGTCCACCAACCGTCTTGGTGAGTTATGGGCCAGAGAACATGATGTGAGATTCCAGGCCCTGCTGCTTGTTCAGGTGCCCTGTATTTAGTTCTGACCTTAGCGTTAGTGCCCAGTAAAAGGAGGAGATACATACTGCCTGGTAAAGACGTGGCTGTTTTGGGCTGCTCTTGCATGATGTCTTCCAGTGGACTTTAGTGGGAACTGGAAGTGTGTATGAGTTTGAGTCTAGCAAGAGCTGTGAGTGCATAATGTTGGAAGAAAATCCCTTGTTTGTTCTGCATTGCTGCATTTCTATACTGCTATAGTTTAAATTTAGTAAAGTAGTTAACCCTGTACTAAACTGATCTCTGTCTTCCCTTAGCCACCTGAACGTCAGATTGTGGTTGGAATCTGTGCCATGACCAAAAAGTCCAAGTCAAAGCCCATGACACAGATTCTAGAGCGTCTGTGCAAATTTGAGTATATCACAGTGGTGATTATGGGCGAAGATGTTATTCTGAATGAACCGGTGGAGAACTGGCCCTCTTGTGACTGCCTAATATCATTCCACTCCAAAGGTAAAAAAATCTGTGGCAGGCCTTAGCCTTCCCCCCCCCCCTCCCCCCCCCCCCCCCCCCTGTATTTCAGGATTCCCCCTGGATAAAGCTGTTGCTTATGCCAAGCTGTGCAAGCCATTTCTGATTAATGACCTTGATATGCAGTATTATATCCAGGACAGGTAGGGGTCTGTGATCCACTAAACCCCCTTCTCTCTTCCTTTGTTTGATTCCTCTCTTCAGCATGCCGTGCAAACTTTGTCTTCCTGGCCACAAGCAAACGAGTGAGATGGGGAGGAACGGGACCTTAGCAGTGGATTTTAGGGGTTGTTATCTAAAACATGGAGGGGAATAGATTAATGTGTAAAACCACTGAGACTTGGTGTGTTTTGTTTTCTGGTGCAAATGTCTTGTAAGGAATGACTAGATGAAGTATGACATGGAAGAGGTCTCACAGAACGAGATTGCCACGACTAAGACAAAAAGACTAGTCTGAGTAGGAAAGCCAAGTAGAGGGATGGGATTCTGGGACAGAAATTGGGAGCAAGGCCAGGTCAGATTCTGAGGAGGATATGTTGGTCAGACACCTCAAGGGGCCTCTCAGTCAGCCCTTGGTAAAGGTCACCAGCAGTCACATACTTCAGTGCCTACAGACAGGCTGGTTTGATTGCATGTGCGTAGGGCTCATACCAGACTCCAGATATCCTGCCATGTCTTTGGGTTGTGAGCGGTGTTCTTGTGGGTCCTGACAGGCACCCTACGGTGCAACTCCAGTGGAAGAATTGCGGTTTCCCCACTGACATCAGATGAAAAGAGGCTCTGCTACATCTGCCTGGCCTGGGTGTTGGACAGCTTAGCGTGGCAAGGCACCCTTCAAGAGGGCAGATCTGGAGAGGTGCTGTGTGCTGGGTGTGGTGCTGTGGATTGGGCACGTGCTAGTAAATGAGCATCTGTGCTTAGACCAGGCAGAGATTTACTCTGGGACATCTCTGTCAGGAGTAGGACCGAGGCATTCCCCGTAGCCTGTAGATTTTGTCTGGAGAGCATGTGCTGAGAAATATTTGCACCGTATCTTGAGGTTTCTTTGTATTCATATGACTTTGTTCTTCGTCAGTGAGAGTGAAGCCTTTCCCTTGGCTTGTACTGAGGACCTTCTAGACTCTGCTGACGCTGTTTCTGTCTTCTGCAGGCGTGAAGTGTATCGTATCCTTCAGGAAGAGGGGATAGACTTGCCCCGCTATGCTGTGCTCAATCGAGACCCTGATAGACCAGAAGGTCAGTGTCCAGGCTCTGCCAAAAGGCATTTTCACATATTGGACTATTTAAAATACTGTGCAGAGAACAGGTGCTGATTGTCAGCTTAAAGAGGCCTGATTCACATGTCTGTTGTTTTTTGTGGACAAAGGTCCCAGCAGCAAGACTCGCAGGCTGGCCAGGAATGGAGGGCTCTGGCTCTGCACCGGGGCTGTCTCACCCTTTCCTAACATGCTGCTGCTGTGCTTTGTCTTCAGAGTGCAACTTGGTGGAAGGAGAGGACCACGTGGAGGTAAATGGAGCTGTTTTCCCAAAGCCATTTGTAGAGAAGCCGGTCAGTGCTGAAGACCATAATGTGTATATTTATTACCCGACGTCAGCAGGTGGGGGCAGCCAGCGGCTCTTTCGGAAGGTAAGGAGGGGGACTCCAGTTCTGGTGTTGGAACCAACAGATCTGTGGTTCTGAGAGCCGTGTGGCTTTAGGAGGGAGCGTTGGGGCAGGCGAAGGGGAAAGGAAGGTTTTGTGTTGGGGAAATGTAGACCTTCTTAGCACTTTTAGTTGAACCCCATCTACCTGGGAGTTGCGTGAGGGATATATTCTAGTGGTAGTGCTGACTTCGCCTTCCCCATCCTCTGTTTGACCTGTGTCCTGTCTAGCAGTCATGGAGACTGCCTTATCGTCCCTTATTGAGTTGCATACTGTTCTTTCCAGATCACTTCCTCGGTATCACAGAATGATAGGGGTTGGAAGGGACCTCTGTGGGTCAGGTAGCCCACCCCGCCTGCCGAAGCAGGGTCACCTACAGTAGGTTGTAGAGGACCTTGTCCAGGCGGGTCTTGAATATCTCCAGAGAAGGAGACTCCACAACCTCCCTGGGCAGCCTGTTCCAGTGCTCCGGTTTGTCAAGATGATTCATTTTTTGAAACTTATATTCCTGTACTCTAACATCATTGTTGCCCTTCTCAGCTTAGTGTGGTTTGCAGGTGCGATAAATGCAGTATTTATTCCTAGATTCCACAGGGAATTTGCCTTTACTCACTTCCTCCACTTTGCCAGCGAAAAGTTAATAGCTGTGATAAATCTTTTTTTCCAACCAGTTACACATCTGCCATTAATAATCTTAAAATGATTGTTTCCTTAGCTAACATACAGGCATGCCACTGGAGATTGTGTCTAAAGCCTTACTAAAAATGAAAGCAACATCATCCTCTGTCAGTAAGATCAATCAACTGTCCTAGAAGGAAGTTGAATTGGTTTGATTATCACCTGTCATCATTTATTTTCATGTGCTTATTAGCTAGGCTCCTTACTTTCTAGGCCTTTATCCACTGTTTTTTGTTCCATATCCTTGTACTGATTGGAATCAACCTAATGGTCTATGATAACTTTTCTCCTCTTGAAAGCCTGGAAAAGGACATACCTACAGTCTGTGTTTTGGAGTCTCGTCTGTCCTCCATAAATAAGTGTGCTATAATAGCTAGGGGTTCTGAGAGGTGTTCCGCCAGTTCTCTAATATGGGATGAAACTTAGGCATTTTGTTCTTCTGTCTCAGAAAAGAAGCCCTGTGCTCTTCCTTGAGGTGTTTATTCTGTGCTTTCAGATTGGCAGTCGGAGTAGTGTTTACTCCCCAGAGAGCAGTGTGAGGAAGACAGGCTCGTACATTTATGAGGAGTTCATGCCTACAGATGGCACTGATGTAAAGGTAAGGAAAAGCCTGGAATAGCTCCTTCCTTCTCCAGGCCTGGGATAGCTGAAGGTCAGTCCTACTTAGTCCTACTTAGATTCTGGAGTGTCTGTTTAAGCTGTGAGGTGCTGACTGTGTAGCTTGGATCCCAAAGCTGGGAGTGGGTGTTCTGTAGGTCATACATGGAGGAATGACCAACTGATCTTCTTCTCTCTGTGTCTGCAGTAGAAATACCTTCTGGAAGCTGAAGTTAGTCTAGGTGGTTATGTCAGGTGTAACTGTTTCTCTTCCCAGGTGTACACTGTTGGGCCGGACTATGCCCATGCAGAGGCTCGCAAATCCCCTGCTTTGGATGGGAAGGTTGAGCGGGACAGTGAAGGGAAAGAAATCCGTTACCCAGTCATGCTGACTGCCATGGAGAAACTAGTTGCCCGGAAAGTCTGTGTAGCCTTTAAGGTCTGTGCTTTCTCCTTATGCAAGCAGGATACTCCACGAATGTCTGATTTGAATCTCGGTCAGTGTTAGAGCTTGAGCTCTTTTAACCTGATGTGTCTCTGGTGCGATGGTTTTCCATGCCTGATGCCAACTGCCATCTCTGCTGGCTGGGTGCAGCTGCTCCTGCTGGCCATGGCAGTTTGCTGGTCGGAGATGACTGGGAAGTCAGGGGGTCCTGCAGCAAATTCCCCGTGCTGGCAGTTGGCTGGTGTCCAGCGTACATCTGAGCATTTAATACCAGATTCTGGGCGTGCTGCTGCCCATCTGACCAGTGCTCGTCCTGCCTTTACTATTTCCTAGTTGTGTTTGTGTGGAAGGCTTGGTCTTCTTTTCTTCTGTGTGTCTTGTTTTTTTTTTGTTTTGTTTGTTTTTTTCTATTTTTATTCTGGCTTTGGTGCACATTGGTGTTCTATTTTACCGATCGGTGAGTGTGTGAGTCTAGGTGTGGTTACATGACATCTTCAGCAATGTCAGCAGAAGCAGCACTTGGCTACTTGTTCCTGCCCCTGGTGCAATCTGCAACCCATGCTGTGGACTTGTTTTCCCTTGTAGCCTTTTCCACACATTGATGGATGTCTGTGCTTGCACCACTTGTTGTCTGTACTTGTCAGTCTGGTTCAAAACAGTTGGATTTAGAAGCAAGAGCAGGAGAGCTAGGAGCTGTTCTGTCTTAAGCCTTTAGAGCTCTGGGAGGTTGCGGGGGGGGTGGCCTTGATGGCTTAATCCAGGGGCTCATGGGCTGGGGCTTTGATACAGCTGTGAAGGTGTAGTGGTTCCTCTAAAGGGCCTGTTACTGCTGGCTAGTGGCTGTATTTTAACACTTCTTTAAGGGTCATGAAGTAGGCATAGAGTGGAGGACAGCTGCAGCACCAGTGGAGCTGAACTGGGAAGAGTACGCTGGTTGGGTCTGTGCATGCACCCTGCTTGGCTGGCAGCTGCCGTCCACTTGCTGCCCTCCCTCACAGTCTGCCCATGTGTCCTCTGCTTCCTCATGCAGCAAACAGTCTGTGGGTTCGACCTCCTGCGGGCAAATGGCCACTCTTTTGTTTGCGACGTGAATGGCTTCAGTTTTGTGAAGAACTCTATGAAGTATTACGATGACTGTGCCAAAATCCTTGGGTATGTAAAAATCAAGTTTTGGCAGTGGGTAGGGTAACTCATAGCAAAGTAGAATGATTGTGGAGTCCTGGTTAGTATGTTGGAGAAGTCTACAGGTGGTTCATATGGGGACATTTGTTTAACAGGTGAAAGCTTGGCTCTGGGAGGAATGAGTTAATTATTTTTAGACCCTGGAGCTCCTGCCTACATTGGCGTTAGCTGTCTTTGTCTACAGCTTGATGTATCTTAAAGGACTCCTCACTGGATGCTAAGCCCAGCTACAGTATGGGTGATGTGAGGGAAATCGGTGTCCCTTTGGGGTGCCCTGACTAGTCTGTGATGTGATAGATGTCTCTGCAAGGAAGGGGAGGAGAAGTTCTGTGCCTCTCTTCAAGTCTTTCACCTGGATCACTGAGAAGGAGGTGGACAACCAAGGGAGTGGAATTTCTGGTGAATTTTGTATTCTAATTTCTTCCAGAAATATAATCATGCGGGAATTGGCTCCCCAGTTTCATATTCCTTGGTCCATCCCAACAGAGGCAGAAGACATTCCCATTGTCCCCACAACTTCAGGCACCATGTGAGTACCTGCCATCTTCTCAAAAGAATGCTGGTGATGGCTACGTGAGGGATGAAGTGCAAAGCCTGTCCAAGGGACAGACATCACCAAGCAGCATGGTGTTTTCCAGCTGCTGTGTTGGCTGAAACTGTGAAGTGCCTGTGGAAAGGCTCAGCCATGCACATGAAAGGGGTTCTTATTGGTCGCTCGAAGACAGGACCCCAGCTGTAATAACCATTCTTCTGAACCAAGCTGTTTTTTCCTGGGTCTTTCTGAGTGATCCTATGAGCATTGCACAAGTTGGGTATGAAAACAAGCTTGGCACAATTCAAAATGCTGTTTCTGTAGATACTGTAACATCCAGCCTGGTCCTTTATGTTGCAGATGTGGTTCTGCCTGTCATATTGCAGTGCTTTTCCCTGATAGGAGATCAGATGACCTGTTAATGTCTGCAATACTTTGACTGCTTTTACAGCCTTGGCACTTCTGCCTGGTTTAGTGTGGGAGAAGTTCTGCCACCGATGCGGAAAGCAGCTGTCAGAAGGATGGGTCTGAAAGAACAGTGGGAAACTACTTTCTGGTGGCAATTCTGGAGTGCAGGGGCACATTTTCAGGTGTATCTTGTGTTTCACCAGGATGGAGCTTCGTTGTGTTATTGCGGTCATCCGGCATGGAGATCGCACCCCAAAGCAGAAGATGAAGATGGAAGTTAAGCATCCCCGGTAAGAGTCAAGGCAAGAAGATGCTGTGCTGCTGGGAAGTGAGGAGGGCCCATTTTCTGAATCAAGAAGAGGAGCAGAAGGGCTGAGTGCGTGGGAGGCAGTGCTTCTTCCTGGCTCCATTCAAACAAATGCTTTCTGCCCAGCTGAGGGAGCCCCCTTTCCCCATAAGGATCCTGGCACCTTCTGTGTGAACGCTGGAAGAAAGTGAAGGTCTGCTAGGTGCTGCAAAGGGAAGTGCCTCACTAAATGGGAAGCTAGTGGCTGCTTACATTTCGTACCTGTGGCTGGAAAAACTTGGTTTTTTTCACAGGAAGGAGCGAGTAGGCCTGCTGGTTCTCCCTGAAGAACAGAGCGTGAATGCCTATGTAGGGATGACAGTCCTTGTAGCACTGAAATAGCAGAAAATGGATCAGGGTTCTTTGTTGTCTATTCAGGTTCTTTGAATTATTTGAGAAATATGATGGCTACAAGACAGGGAAGTTGAAGCTGAAGAAACCAGAGCAGCTACAGGTGAGGGAAGTCCTCTCTGGGGTTACTGTGTGGGAGATGCAGGTAATACAGATCCCAGCATGAGGCAATTCTTTGGGAGAAATTCTCAAAAGGGCAACAGTTTGTTGCACAAACGCTCCCTTTCTCATTCCCTCCATGCACACTCATCAGTGTGATAGCATGAGAGCAGAGTGCAAACTGTTCCTGACTGATGTGAAGACTGTAGGATGGGGATGACCTGGTGCAGCTTGCCCATCTGTTGTGGTTGCCTCTGGGGAAAGATGGGTCCAGGCGAGGGAGTGGGGCAGCTGGAGGCACCTGCTTGGTTCTGAACGGGGCTGGAGCACAGGGTGGGGATGACGCAAGCTGCAGTGTGAAAGTTTGTCCTGCCTGAGTTGTGTCTTATGAAATGATGTGTCTCTGATGAGCGTGTATGTGGACCTGGTGCTGGGTGAAGCCATCTGGAGGCCTTGCACGTGTACAGTGGTGAGTCTGAGGCAGAATTGCTGGGTGCTTGAGATGGTGTCTGCTCTCCAACAGGAAGTGCTGGACATCGCACGGCAGCTTGTGGTGTCTCCCCATCCTTGTAAAAGTCACTCGGGGCACCATGAGTTTGTCTTAGAGCTGCGGGTCAGGATGCGATGCAGAAAGAAGCTGTGCTGCTGATGTCCTGGCCAGCTGGCTCCCCAGAGGTCAGAGTCTCCTCTGTCCCCTGTTAGCAGCTGTACATAAAAGGTGCCATGCTCTTAACATTTTCACCTTGACATCAAAACTACTGCTGATTCTTGTTCCAAGTGTGTCTGGGTTTTGGCTAAACAACTTGAGACAAAACTGAGCTTCTCTACTGTCGGAGAGGAACTGGAGTCCTGTAGGGACCGCATAGATATGAGTCATTTTGATAAATTTGGAACAAACCTTGTTTTAGATAAGGCTGTCCTGGTGCCAGAAGTTTAACAAAAAGGAGCTTGGAAAACATGAGAAGATGTGTCCTCTCAGGTTTCCTACAGTGGAAATAAAAGACAATATGGCGGTGTCGGCATCATAGAAACAAAAGAAAGGTTTCTCTTGGAACCATAGCTTGCTGTGGCATACACAGGCAGTGTCTATGTTCAGCCAGTGTCTGTGGAGTGCAGAGGATGATTTTTTGCCATGATCCCTTCTTCTTCTCTTTGTGCTCGTTAGAGATGTGGTTATTCTCAGAGCGGCTGGCAGATTGTTTTTTTTTTTCTGTCGTCCCATTAATTCACTTGTTAAAGATGTAGATAGAAATTAAATAAGGTTGATTAAAGCCCTGGTGGGCTATGAGACCACAGAGTGCTGTCAGCTGAAGAGCAAGCAAGTAAATGGATCTTTGAATTTCATTTGGGGGGGTTCTTTGGCTTTTTTTGGGAGTGTGTGCCAGGTCACAAGTAGATGACAAAAATGTTCAAGTTCTTGGCAATTGGTGTTGCAGCGTAAAGTCTCTTGCCTGTGCTGTATTTTTGCTATGTGTTGCCTAGGGACCTCTGGACAAAGGGTAAGTGGAGTTGATTTATTTATGTTTCCCCCCCCCCACTCTCCTTGTGACAGGTATGGACATTTTTCTGGCATTAACCGTAAGGTGCAGTTGACTTATCTGCCTCATGGACATCCAAAAGCTGCAAGTGAAGATGAAGGTAAAGAAACCTGATGTTGCTGTTGTGATCTTAAAGCCTAATGTTCAAGAGTGTGTGCAGCCATCCTACCCTAAATAGACTTTTGGACATGCAAGCAAAATTAGTGACCCACATCTTATCTTTACTCACATCATATGAAGGGTTGGAGTGATGCATATTGTAGTGTACCAGTATACCCCAGATGGTGCCACAGGGCTTATGCTTCCAATTTCATGAATGTCAGCCTATACCTTCAAAAAGTAGTAACTGTTAATTTCCTACTTGCTGGTTTGGTTCCTGGGAATTTTGGGTCAGACTTGTGTTGAGAACACTCTGCAAGATGCTGATGACAACCTCTTCTTCCTCCCCTCCTCTCTCCCTGCAAATTCAGCTTTGAGATCTGAGGTAGTAAGTACCTGTTTCTCTCCTAGAAGCTCGCCGAGAGTCTTCCCCATCTCTTCTCCTGGTGCTTAAGTGGGGTGGAGAGCTGACACCAGCAGGAAGAGTTCAGGCAGAAGAGCTGGGGCGAGCCTTTCGCTGTATGTACCCTGGTGGCCAAGGTAAGCTTCGTCCACGTGTCTCTGGTCCTGCCCTGTGACTGTGCCACACTGCTCAGCCCAGGTGACTGTCACCAGCGTGAGGGATGCTTGGACCTTTGTGGGCTGTGTGCAGCCTGTGTGACTTGGGTCATGGCTGGTTTTGTTCTTTTGAGTTGACCTGGTAAGGATAAATAATTCAAATGGGTTTTGCACCTAAAGATCCCTAGAGCTGTCTGCTGCAGTGGTTAAACTTTAGTATGTCTTGGAGCACAATAGCATTCTTTCAATTAATATGCCAGCATTCAAAAAAGGGAAGCCATTCTAATAAGATACATTCTGATGCAGCAAATACAATTCAAAATTTATGTATGATTAACAAAGAATTTAGATCAGATGTAGAGAAAGAGGAAGTCTGTCTTGGAATACAGATAATTCTGCCTTGAGGCTGGAGAATAGGAAGGTAACTTCTCCGTATTTTCTCCACTATAGTTCTGTGACTCTGAAAACCATTTAGTATACACAGGTCAACAAGACGCCAAAGGGACGGGGAAAAAAAAAAAAAAAGACGACTGGGATTGCGTTTTTCGCCCAAGTAAAGTCAGAAGTGATACACTACTACTGTACTGATCTGATGAGACAAATATTGGATACTGATTATCTTTGATGTGTATGTTTAATTAATTCAATGTAATGAATTAAATTTCAAATTAATTAAGCTAATTTTAAATTGAATTGGAGAAGATTTCCTTCTGGAATAAGGAAGACTTACCCTTGGAGGAAGAGGATCAGGTCAGGGAATACCTAAGCAAACTGGACATACATAAGTCCATGGGCCCTGAGGGGATGCACCCACGAGTGCAGAGGTAGCTGGCAGATGTCACTGCGAGGCCACTCTAGATTATCTTTGAAAGATTGTGAGGACCGGGAGAGGTGCTTGAGGACTGGGGAAGAGGAAACATCACTTCTGTCTTCAAAAACGACAAGAAGGAAGACACAGGGAACTGCAAGCTGGTCAATATCACCACAGTCGCTGGGAAGGTGGTGGAGCAGCTAATCCTGGAAACCCTTTGTGGGCACATGAAGAATAGGAAGGTGACTGGGAGTAGTCAGCATGGATTCACAAAGGGAAGTCATGCTTAACCAACCTGATAACCTTCTACAGTGAAGTGACTGGCTTGTTTAGATGAGGGGAGAACAGTGGATATGGCCTACTTTGACCTCAGTAAGGCTTTTGGCACTGTCTCTCAAACATCCTCATTGCTGATGAAGTATGGGCTGGATGAGCAGACAGTGAGGTGGACTGAAAGCTATCTGAATGGCTGGGCTTAGAGGGTGGTGATCAATGGCACAAGGTCTAGTTGGAGGCCAGGAATTAGCAGTGTAGCCCAGGGGTGAAAACTGGGCCTGATCCTCTTTAATATCTTCATTAATGATCTGGATGATGGGGCAGAGTGCATCCTCAGCAGGATGACACAAAACTGGTAGGAGTGGCTGACAGGCCAGAGGGTCATGCTGCCATCCAGAGGGACCTCGACAGGCTGGAGAAATGGGCTGGCAGGGGCCTCATGATGTTGAACAAGGGGATGTTGTGCGTGTGCAAAATCCTGCCTCTGGGGAGGAACAACCCTCTGCACCAGTATATGCTGAGGGTTGACCAGCTGGAAAGCAACTTTGCAGAAAAGGACCCAGGGGTCTTGGTGGACACCAGTTGAACATCAGCCAACAGTGTGCCCTTGCCGCAAAGAAGGAGAATGGTATCCTGGGCTACATTAGGAGGATTGTTGCCAGGTGGTTGACGGGAGGTGAGCTGTGAGGTCAGATGCTTGTGATCTCAAGAGCACATTTTTAGCTAACATGGGGATAAACTTTCCAAAAGATCAGAAAACTAGGTGCACGTGGTGTTGCTTACTGCAAGGTGCCAACAAGTAGAGCAGACTGTCAGTGCACAGAGGCTAAAGGAGGAGAAGGAGTGGTAGTGGACAAAGGATCTTCATGAAGAGGCCGGTGTGCCATTCTTTAAGATGGGAATGGCGAGTTAGAAAGGCTGGGGACTTCTGGTGCTGTTGTGGATCTCTGAAGTCCGGAGCTGAGAGGATCAGCCACTGACTTGGTCAAGAGATTGGGGAGACCAGAAGACAGTGTGCAGGAGAGTCAGTTCCAGTGGAAGTACAGGGAGTAGATTGCTGTTTAATGAGCCAAAACCCGAGAGAAGAGACCTGTCTGCAGCGCTCTGGGCAAGTGGAGTGCAGTTACCAGCAAGCTGAGCTGAGCCCCATGGTGTGGTCTATGCCAGTTCTGAACTGAGTGCTCTGTATCTACTGAGTGGCTGCCCTGTTGCTCACAGTAGGGCTCGGTCTGAGCATGTACAAGGCGACTTCAGTCCTTCTGAATCATGGCCTTGGAGACTTCTGCATCACGTGGTCATTTGTGGAGAGGGAGAGATCTTACTTTGCAGTGAGATGCTGTGTTACATTTCCTGGGTAGCAGCTGGTACATGGCAGCTTTGTCCAGATACATAGCTCACTTCTGGCTGATGTCTGTCCTTGTCCAGCAGGGTGTTTTTCTGAGTTGTGAGCTCAGAGCTGGGAGCAATTTTCCCATCTTCTCATACAATGTGACTGGGTACTCTGGAAAATCATCACAAAATTCCAGGCAGCAGCAACTTAGTCACCACTGCACTGTCTTTGGAGGGTCAGACTCAAGAGCTGCATGAGTTGCTTCCTCCCATTACTGATCTGACTCCTGTGGCTGACTCAGCCATCGTAAATAAACCGGCATTTTGTGCTGCAAGATAATTGTAGCTCTACAGGATATGCTTTGGAAGCCAGGTGCCTCCCTACTGAATAGCTCTGCCTGCAGTTCTGATGGTAGCAGTACCTGCTCTTGTGCAGAGAATGAGGAGGAGGAGGCAGCTCTTTTTGTGCATCTTTGTTCTGCAGAAGGGCATTCAGGCTACAGACTGTTCAGAGAGGGTTGCTGCAGAATTTGGGAAACATCAGACTTGACTGGTGAATGCTCACTTTTTCCTCAAAATTAACTTTCCCAAGTTAAGCAAAGCCTGAATCAGATTTCTAGCCATCGTGCATGGCTAGAACTGTCTGTTTTGGAGCAGCCTGAATGCTGGCTATGAAAGTGATAATTCTCTACATAACTTTGTTACTACAATAAAGTTTGTTATCTAAAACAGTCTATTCAGCTGATAGTTGTGCAGGTGTCAGAATATTAATTTTGAGTTTGTTTTCTGTTCCAGGTGATTATGCTGGTTTCCCAGGATGTGGCTTGCTCAGGCTGCACAGCACCTACCGTCATGATCTCAAGATCTACGCTTCAGATGAGGGACGAGTTCAGATGACAGCAGCAGCTTTTGCAAAGGTCCTTCCTCTCTTTTGGGCAGCTTTTAGTTCTACTACATTAGTCTTAAAATGTGCCAGTTCTAAAGGAAAACCTCTGGTGCTGAGAAAGGAGCTGTTCTAGGAGCTTCCCTTTCTCTGTCGGGAGGACACTGGTACACTATGCTGATAGAAGGTCTATGGGGTGGTAGTGGAAATCCAGTGTAGCTGCACGTGTATGTCACCTTTAGTATTCTGTCCAGGATAGGCCTCTGACTGGAGAAGGAGCTATTTATGGGTTATTGCTAGTGTTCGATGTTAGAGCACGTCAAAACTGTTGCTGGGTATTAATTGCCTACAAAATGAGAGTTTCTTGGATGACTGCCCAGCCAGAGGGTTTTTTCCCCTGACTACTGGCTTTAAAAGGGGAATGAAATGTCTTAGGTGCAGTGTGGGGTGGGGGTAGAGGAGAAGACAGGTTCGTCTGCAGTTAAAGCCTGAGCCAAGGGGAATCCTGTGGTGACCTTAGCTGTTCTTCAGGGCCTCTGCTGTATCTACATTTTCCAGCAAACTGAGTTGGCTGCTCAACAATTGCCTAGACAAATCTGGGGCTGCTGCAGGCAGAGCTGGCCTTTTGCCTTAAATAGCTCTAGAAGCATACCAGAGTTACTGGTGACTGTAGGTGCTGTTGCTATAAAAGTACTTCAAGGACAGCTGAGATTTTACTTATGCTGGATGAAGACTGGCCATGAAACTACCAGAAATATTTGTTGCTTGGGTTGCACATAGCTGAAATCTTGTCTTATGTTGCTTTAGGGACTGCTGGCCCTGGAAGGAGAGCTGACACCCATCCTGGTGCAAATGGTGAAAAGTGCTAATATGAACGGTCTCCTGGACAGTGACAGTGATTCTCTTAGCAGCTGTCAACACAGAGTGAAGGCACGACTGCATGAAATCATGCAGAAGGATGCCGAGTTCTGTGAAGAGGATTATGAAAAGGTAAAGCACCTGTGTGGCTTTATTGCTTCCTATATCTGGAAGGAGAATAGCATTGCTCCAGTGGTTTGACGTGGAGCCTGCTGCTATGGACAGTAGTTTGGTTAATCTGAGATCAGTTCTGGACAAAATGACAGGATATAAACAGAATTTTGGAAAGGAAAGGGAAGGTTTTTTTGGGGGGTAATAGCCCCTGCTCTTCTCCAAGTGAAAATCCTCAGTGTTGCTCCACTCTTTCGTTCAAGAATCATCGTGGTACCTTCCTCTTCCTTTAGAAGTCCAAATGCATTTTAATCTCATGGGTGTGCTAAAAGAAGAGTTCTTGTCGTTTACTGCATGCTGCCCAGAACAATCCCAGTTACTGTGGACAGGGAGTACACCTTGCCATAATCTAGATCTGTGCTCTGTGTGTGTGTGAACAGATCTTTTGGATACAAATCCTTTTGTGGTCCTATCAGTGCCTGGTAACTGCAGAGTAGAGAGCATGGGCTACATCCAGCACAGCAACTAATAAAAGCACTATAGCTGCTTCTCTGACAAGTACTCAAAACACTATTTTTCCCAGACTCTGAGATTACCAGATGGAAATCTGTTACCATTAAAGGACATATTTATCACCTCAAAGAACTACTTAAGACTCTGTGAAGCCCTTCTGCTCAAGCACAGAAGCAAAGTGAGACACAGTGAATATTGTAGGTGGAGGGAGGTCTGATCTGATAGGAGCAGTTGTTTGCTCCCTCTGAGTTTGGTCCTGAGGAAGTTTTTAAAACATGCCCAACTACACCTAGGAATAGGCCAGTGTATTACACTCAGCTGGGAGCACAACTTTTGTACCGAATCAGAAAGCAATACAGCTGCAAAATGCAGACATTTTGTGTTCCCAGTCTGTAAAGATACTAACTAATCTCTACTGCTACCTTCTTTCAGCTAGCACCTACAGGCAGTGCTTCTCTGCTCACCTCCATGGCATTTATCCAGAACCCAGTAGAGGTCTGTAACCAAGTGTTCACCCTGATTGAGCATCTCACTGCTCAGATACAAAAACGTCTGGAAGACCCAAAATCTGCAGGTGAGCATCAGAACTGGAAAAGGTCTGGAGCAGATTAATTTATTGTTACATCTTCAGAGCTCCCAAACACCACTATGGTTTATGTTTGTCTGTAGCAAAGAAATTCTGAAGTGAAATTCTGTATGTGCTGTTGATGTAGAAGGCTCCATTCCACTTACAACTACTGTGAAAGAGAGCTGTAATGTAAAGAAAATTATATGTGCATCTTGGGTTTAGGGTGAATGTAAACAGCAGCAGTATAGCCTGGAGAGGTATGCCTAATTTCTTCAAGAATTTGCTGGAGGCGAGGTCAAGACTATAAACAGAAAGTTTTTCGGTCACGATTTCCTCATCTCTAAGAGCTTTCCTAATAACAGTGCAGAGGTTTTAAAAAGGCATCTGTGGGACATTTCACGTGATTTGTGGCAGACATAAGCCAAAAGGCAAGCAGTTTCACTCTTCTCAGGTATTTTGGAAGTAGCTTATTGCTGCAGATTAAAACTCTGTGCAACAGGTCCAGTGGCTTTTCCAGTCTGTGGGTGACATAATAATTAGAGCCCTTCTGTGCTGGGAGAAGTCAGTCATAGCTGTCACTTGAAATCTGTGCAGCAGTAGTCAGGATGTGAATGTGGTTTGGTGTTCTCTGCTGTTTAGACCTGCAGCTGTACCACAGTGAGACTTTAGAATTGATGCTGCAGCGCTGGAGCAAGCTGGAGCGAGATTTCCGCATGAAGAACGGGCGTTATGACATCAGCAAGATCCCTGATATCTATGACTGCATCAAGTATGATGTACAGCACAACTGTGCACTGAAACTGGAAGGCACAGCCGAGCTCTTCAAACTCTCCAAAGCCCTGGCAGATGTGATTATACCCCAGGTATAGCCTGTCCTGCCTGTGTGACGATGTCTGTGGTGTCAGTTTCTGACCCTTTCCGTGTCTGTTTTTTCTTGATTCTCTTGCACATTAACTCTCAAGGCAGCATATCACAGGTGTTTCTGATCTATCTCTTAGTGTTTATATAAGGCCAAAACCACTGATGATTTAAGATGCGGCAGGGCTTGCTTCCTGGATGGGGATTCTGACAGTGTCAGAATAATGAGCAGCTGACGCAGCAGCTTCTCTGTGTTTGTTGTAGTGCATTATAGCACAGCTTTGAGCTAGTGTGTGCTATAGCAACATCCCATTCTCCACGTCCAGGACTGTATGAGGGAAGAAAGATTAAGTGAAGGCTTGTTCTGGCCAGTTTGTTATTCTTGTCAAACTTGAACTTGTTTAGTTTGCAAAGTGGCTTGCTTCTCACAAAGTTTATGCCCATGAACATGGGAGGGGAAAGGAGGGCTCCATGCGATGGATCTCTGTATTCACCATCGTTCTGTTCCACTTCTGGCAGAAATTCATTATTTATACGGGATGAGCTTCTACTAGCAAGGTCCAATTGCGCTTGTGCCAGTGTAGAGCAGAAGTGGTCTTCTATGCTTTTTCACAGTGTTCCTGATGAGATGCAGTCTGGCTATTTCCAGCATAGCACTTCAAGTTCTCTCTTTGCAAATAGTAGTTGTTGCATTAATGGCTATGCGAGTTCAGGGTATAAGCTTTTTTGTCATGAGAGGAGGTTCCCTAATGGTACTTGCGCCTCTCAGCTGCTGGAAGAATGCTGACAGTCATATCTAGACAGACTGGGATTCTTGGAGCAGTCTCTGTCCTCTATTACCCTCTGCAATATGTGGATAAAAAGTAAGAGAAAGGTTCTGGGTGACATTTCCCTTGCTGCCCAGGCTTAACTGCAGTGGTGCTTGCAGACAGGACTACTGAAGTCCAGCCTCCTTTCGTGTGAGGATGTGGCAAAGAACTAGGGCTCAAGGGTATCTGTTGTTTCATTCCTGCAGGAATATGGGATTAATAAGGAGGAGAAACTGGAGATTGCTATTGGCTTTTGTCTTCCTCTCATTAAAAAGATCCAGCTGGACCTACAGAGAACCCATGAAGATGAGTCTGTCAACAAACTACATCCCTTGTAAGGACTGTGCTGCATGCTGCTGCTGCTGGTGGGGAGGGCAGCTTTGGAGCAGTGTGTGGGAACCATGCCAGAAGAGCGTACTGGTGTGGAAAGAGGCACTGAACATACACTGAAGGACACACCAAGAGGGAGGCATGTTGGTGCTCCTAGAACTGGAAGGGAAATGGAAAGGCATCTTGAGACGGCTGAGTGGGAGCATGGTGCTGCAGAAGCTTAAACCCATTGTAACTGGATGGTGGTGCCTTCGTCCCTGTCTCTGCGATGAGGCCACCTCTGCCACGCTATGTGTCTCCATTAGGATACCACAAAACTTGCTTCTTCTGTGCCCAATGCTCTCGCTGTTTGTTCTGTTCCCAGTGTGGGGTTATCTTATTCTGTTAAATGTGCAGAAATGCTGCTGTGTGATGACAATTCATTGGCAGCCTATGAGTAACACTGGGCTGATTTTCGTTTAGGTACTCAAGAGGAGTTCTGTCACCAGGTCGCCACGTTCGGACACGACTTTACTTCACCAGTGAGAGCCACGTGCACTCTTTGCTCAGTATCTTCCGCTATGGGGGGCTCCTGGATGTAAGTGTCCCAGCAATGCTCACAGAGTAAGCCTCCCTGCTTTTTTTCAGTGGTCCTTTCCAAGATGGACAGTGTATGTTTGTAGGTTGCCCCTCTAACCAGCTCCCCCCAGTACTGACGTGCATTGTCTCTGCTGTGTTTGCATGCTGAAGCTTCCTGCCTTTCTGGCATGTGGGAGGATTGTTCTTCCTCAGTCCTGACACTGCCTGCCTTGCTTGTACAGAGGTCTGTTTTCTCCAAGAGCTGTCCTGCTGGTTTCAGATGAGTAGACCACTTACCTGTGTAGCAGGATAGCAGGCAATGGGGATGAGGGAATTTCTCTCTTCCTGCTTCCTTCAACCCTTGATTTCAAGAGCTTGGCCCTGTTACTTAGTGACTTTCTGCCAAGTCTGTCAATTCTGCTTACAGAGGAAGTGACCTGAGGTTGCAAATGCATTGGGGGTGCTCTCTACTACCAGAGGGACAGACGACACATTTCTAGGGGACTAACTCATCCAATCCAAGCTTCACTTACTCTCATAACCTGCTTCCTGAAGGAAATGGCATGCAGACCCTGAGAAAAGCTCTGCTTTAGACTCCTCAAGAGAGAGTCTCTGGTTTATCTGCCCATTTTGGAGCATGCTGTTCTGAAATGCCTTGAGAGTTTGGGCTTGCTTAGCAGGCATGATTTCTGATGTCTGTGGAAGCTCACTGTAGCTGCAGGCAGTGATCGTGCAAGTACCACTGAATTGCTTGCTCAATAAGATGCTACTTTATTCCCCAACTTGAGTGTCGGAGGATGCTGTGTTGCCAGCACAGGGATATTAGGCTGCATCTGGATTCGTTTGTACCAGTGGGGTTCGTTTCATGTCTGTCAAGGTGATGAGATGCTCCACAGCAGCGTGAGTGGCACTTCAGGTATGGCCATTCCCTAGCAGTGTTGGGCAGCAATGATGGGTGGGCTGCCCTGCCTTGTGGAGCCCAGGGGTCCAGCGTCGCTCTGTAGACTTCATTCAGCATCGTGTAAAAGCAGCTTCACTTGGTCCCTTTTTTAGCGCAAGTTCATCCCTGGTGATTTTTTTGAGATTTCGTTAAAATACTCCATTCTGTAGGCCACTGTATGAGAATGACTGTGTTTGGGAACCTGTTGTGGGTTATGCTTTTCTTCAGTCAGCATGACGTAGGGGGCTTGCAGCTGGATGTGCTCAGATCTGCATGTGGATTGTATGGGTAGCTGTAGCGTCCCTCTATGCAGTTGCTCCTTACTCTAAGCACCCCGCTCGCATTGCTAGGTCGTCTCTCTTCATGCAAGTTAAGCAAGGTGTTTTTTGTCCTCACAATGTTGTTATCTTGTGGAGAGACAAACTCACTCAGACCCATTTCACTGAATGCTGCAAGGTGTCTGCTGTTGCTTATTCCATGCGACTGTTTATGTGTATATATCAGGAAAACAAAGACCAGCAGTGGAAGAGAGCCATGGACTATTTGAGTGCTATCTCAGAGCTGAACTACATGACCCAGATTGTTATCATGCTCTACGAGGACAACAACAAGGTGAGGGATATAGCTGTAGGATAAAATCCTTCCTGCCAAGATGCAAGGTACCATCGCTGAGAGATGCATTCAGCTGCGAAGTTTGTAACCTGAGCTCTCTCCGCTTGAGAATAAAGATGGGCGGATCATTAACAGAACTGCTAGTTTTTATTTTTAGGTCGGAGGCAGTGACCCAGTTAATGCTTGTTATGTGTAAGCAGAATGCCACCCTGAGCAGTAATACCAAACTTAAGTAATCAATACTATCTATTTTAAAGCATTTCCTAAAGCAAAATAATTTTCTGTTTCTTAATTGCAAACGAACAGAAGGAAAAAATAAATAAAACCAAATTATATTTGGCATTTTTTTCCAAATAGTTCTAGAAAATATCCAGAAATTTCACATTCATAAACTGTTTTTATTTTAAAAATACACTGATATAATTAGGGAAGTATATACTGATATCTTCCTAGTGCTGTTTGTCAAAAAAAAAAAAAGTCTGAATACAGCTCTTAGGAGTGGTGTAAATCTGTTAGTAAGTAGAGATGGTGAAACTTTTGGGTTTACATCATTAGTGTCAGGTACTGTAAAAGCTCTTGCTTCCTTTGAAAAAAAAAAAAAAATAGAAACAGTTACTTAAATCTTGGAACAACCTGACTAAAGGTCTGGGAGGGAACCAGTCTCTCCCTGCCGCAGTGTCTGCTGGTTTTGCAACAGGAGTGGATGGGAAGGGGCTATGCTTTAGGTTTGTGTGTGTGTGTATATATATATACACATATATATGTACATAGAGCCCAATTCTGTTTTGGTCCTCTGGTGGCTGTTGTCACAAAATAACAACAATTTGAATGCCTCAGCTTTGTGCTAATAAGGGCTGTCCTTTTGGATGGAACAAACCTAGAGCCATTACGTTTGTAGTTTCATGTTGCTTCCGCTTTCCTTCCAAAAGGATGCGCTTGGGATGCGTGCTGCACTGGCATGGCAGGGTGGCCCAGGTCCAGACTGTGGCCTGTGCTGACAGTGGGACTGATTTTCACCTATTTACTTGTTCCCTGTGCCTGATGTTCACAGGACCCGTCTTCAGAAGAGCGTTTCCATGTGGAGCTGCATTTCAGCCCTGGTGTGAAAGGCTGTGAGGAAGAGAGGAACGTGCCCACGGGGTTTGGCTTTCGGCCTGCCTCCGCAGAGGTGAGCCGGCTGCCTGGGCGGCGCGTGGGCTGCCCGGCCTGTTGGGGACGCAGCGGGCACAGACCCTCGGTGGACACAGACCTGCTGGGCACCGGGCTGCTGTGCCTGGTGCCACTGCCACCTGGTCTCTGGCAGCAAACCTTCCTCTGACCTGTCTGCATGCCCACGGGCTGTTAACAGGTTGTGTTGCCTGTTGGCTCCGAGGGCTTGTCAGGGCAGTCTTTGAGAGCGCTGGTGTCCTCCTGAGCTCAGCAGAGCTGGAGATCACGGTGGGAGTCCGTGCCTGGGCAGTGCCTGCGAAGGGTGCGTGCCTGTAGGTGTCAATGTTTCCCTACTGCAGAATGAGGACAAGAAAGCCGACCAAGGCAGCCTGGAGGACCTCTCCAAAGAGAAAGGTGTTGATGAGCCCGATCGCGCACAGCAAAGGTCTCCACAGCCTTCTGAGCCGGTCAGCATTCAGCGAAGATCACCACTGATCAGGAACCGGAAGACAGGGTCCATGGAGGTAATAATGCAATGGGGGCCCTTGGTTGTTCTAGTGAAGGTCTTTTGCTTGGTTTTGGGTTTCTGACATTACTTTTAACATGCCAGAGTTTGAGTTGATTCTGGGAAAAGATCTGCAGAAGTAAGAGGGATTTTTTGGAAGGCAGACCTTCCAGACTCCTCCTCATTGAGGAAGGACAAGGGGAACACAGGTCAGAAGAATTGATAGGACGAGCAAGTAAGAAAATGCTTGAGCAACAGAAGAATTATTTGGATTACAGGCTCTATAGAGGCATCAATGTAACCAGCTACGAGATTGCATGCAACCTCTTCACCTAGCCACGGTGACATTTTTGCCTGCTCTCAGACTCCAGCCGTTGCTTCTCACGGTTCAGTTCCACATTTACTGTTCCTGTCTCCCATCTAAGATCTTGTGCAAATCAGAGCTCCCTGTTAACTGGTGGGTTTATTACAGAGTGTTTAAACTGTCACAGGGTTCAGAACTGTCCCATTCACTGATCTGCTACAGTAACAAACATTGATTTTACTGTTCTTACTTCTCTTTTCCAGGGCCATTATGTGTCATAAGGCTAGCTTCACAGTCAGCAGGTAGCTGGCACCTTGAAAGTGCCCCTTCTTCTGGAGGAGTTTCACAGGCATTTTTGCTATCTGTTTTCTGAACCAGTGAAAGCAGGGTGTTAGAGCTTGAGGTATTTGTTAGCCAGCTTCCATCTCTGTGTCACTCATGATGTAATCTTTGCATGCAGCACTCGAGGGCTCTTTGTAACAGGCAAATACTAAGTTAAAGGGCATACAGTTTCCTGCTGCTAAAGAAGGAAATCTGTGTCCCAGTGACCCCAGCAAGAGTCTTGGGAGACAAGGAGCTCAGTACAGAAGTCCCTTCATAGTTTTGAAATCTCCACTGTTCCACAACCCAGCACAAACTGGAAATGAAAATTGAGCGTGCACTGTCTCAATGTTAGCATATGGGTATCTTTATGCTTCTTGAAAATATTGATTTTAAGGAAGAGACATACTTTTCTTTGCCTTCAATTGATGTATAAAGGCTTTCAAGACCAGTGGGTAACTTAGAGCACAACACTGATTATACTATCTGTCTTTGCAGGTGCTATCCGAATCTTCTTCCAAATCAGGAGGTTATCGCCTCTTCAGCACTTATTCCAGGCAGTCTTCTGAGATGAAGCAAAGTGGCTTAGGTATCGTACTTGACCTGTAACCAGCCTGATCACCTGTACCTCTGTATTTCTGTGGGCACGTCTGTCTCTCCACATATACATCTGGCTTTAGTTCCTTTGTATGTCTCTCCATGTGTATTATGTCTTCTTTTAGTGTTACTGTTTAGACCACTGTAGAGACGATCTTACTGTATTTCCTTTTGTGTACGATCTTCTCCTTCAGCTTCTAGCAATAGAAGATGCACTTTTTGTCCTTTATAGTATGGGAGCAAGAGAGTAAGCTGCGTACTTGCAGGTTGGCCTTCTGGTTCCACGTTGCTATCATTTGTTGCACCATTTCTGAGCTTGTTAGGAAGAGACGATTTTATGTGAGAACTAGCGCGCTTTCTGCAAAACAGTAGTTTACATGCAAAGCTGCTCTTCATGTAAGACTATTATATTTCTACCTTTGCTTTATAAAGATCTCTTGTATAGAACAAATCTGTAACTGAGCTGGAATCCCTGGTTAGCCATTCTTTGCATGATAGCCAGCAGAAGAGAATATTTTGGGGCATTTGGTGTTCTCTGCCTGTCCTTGAGAGTACTATTCCCTGTCATCCTAACCTAAACTATGTTTTAATAGTTGAAATGCCTCCTGAAATATTCTTTCTGAAATGTTCTTTCTAAAGCAAGATCTGTTTGGGAACTGCTGCTTTTGCTGTCATGAGCTTAAGAGATAGCTGTGAAACCTAGATCTTGCAGATGACAAATAAGCACCAGGAGGTGGAAATGCCCAAGTTATGCCCACATTCTTTTTCTTTAAAACTATTTTTGCATTATGGCATGGCTGTAGACTTGCAGCAGTTCTGACTCAACAGTTCTTTACTCTGTTATGTGGACGTCCTGCAGCCAAGAGATTTCTGAAAGGCCTGATCCTTTCTTTGTCACTTTTGAATGAGCTGCTTCTTTGGAAGCTAATTCTTACAAAGTAAAGGGAATTTTATTCAGAGTGGTTAGGAAGTATCCCTGTAGTCTGCCAGCTATGCTTCCAGACAATTGGAAAAATCTAAGAAGGAATGGCCAATGCACATTATTTTCATAAAGGCACAATAGTCTTGGTCATAGTGATTTTTGCATGTGCTGTTTCATGTGGTGGTGGTGCATCTGCTTACTTCTGCCTTTCATGGACCACGTGCAGGATTAAGTAAGCTGTAATAGCCTGCCTTGTTTAGGCTTGAAGAAACCTGTGGTTATTCTGTGAATCCATGTGAATCAGTATGATAATTTCTGAGATGGCACACAGTCAAGGAAGTGCATCTGCTTGGAGAATTACTGAGGACATCAAATGCTACATGCAAACCATCTTTATTGTTTGGATGTGTGAGTACCAGAAGGCATGTGCTCTGGAAAGCAGATATTACAGCCTATTTGCTACAGCCTTTTCCAGGTTTCTGAGGAATGTCTGTTTTGTCAATAGAGAAGAATACTACTCTGCTGGACCCTTGCACAGTACTGCTTTTCCTTGACAACAAAATTTGAAATGTGATCCCAGCAGGTTTAATGTCAGGTTCTTGCCTGACTTGCCTTGCTGGGAAGCCTGTGTCAGTCCCAACTATGAAGCTCTGCAGAGACAAAACTTTGAATAGGAATTGATAGACCTGATCTGTGACAGTAGACCTCTAGCTGGATACTCAGTCCGGCCATCATTCTTCTCTATAGAGTCTTGCAGCTGCAGGCACAGAAGGGTTGAGCAGGAGAGACCTGTGGTGCCACACCAGCTTGCACGATCCCTGGTTATTAGAAGGTCTGTGTTTCTGTGAATTTCTCTTCACCTGAGAACTGTTAAGAAGAATAATGCCTCTTTACCTGTAGAAGTCAAGCTCTTCAAGGAATCTTCCTGATTCCTTTCCTGCTTGTTTTGTAATTTCTTCCCCTTTTATGATTTGAAATGCACTCTCTCTGTGAGAATTAATATAGAACTCACAGGAGCTTGAACTTTGGCTTTAATACTTGTCTCAGCAGCTGTGCTATGAGTGAGGGGGTTCATTCAGACACTGCCTGCTATTTCTGAGCTTTTCTGAAGTTGAGCCTGTCTCCTGTTGCCTGACCTTGTCAGTAGCTGGCTATTGTTCTCTCTGGGAGAGTGTCTGTTCAGGTATAACCTCATATGTTCAGGCATGCAGGAATGGGGAGCAGGACAGGGCTCCTATAACAACCCTGCTGCCCTACCTGCCAGAATTGTGTATTTACTGTAATTTAAAAAATGCCTGGAAATGTCTGTTTGGAAAAGGGGCAGGCTGCAGCTTGCTTTATCTATGCAAAGTGGTGCTTTGGAGTATGCCACGTTTTTCTGGGCGGGAGCAAGTGCATTACTGTGGATTGTCCGCAATATTGCCTATGCTTCTAGCGTGAGAAGCCTAGGGAAGTTTCAGTGCCGTTCTTTGCTTGCAAGAACACTTCAAAGTGGGGTAAAATCACTCCTTGCTGTTTGAGCAGTAGTGGTGGTGCATTGCTGGTGGGCATGAAGGTTTGTGCTGAGACTCCCGTAAGGAAATAAGGAATGTCCAGTTTTTAAACATCTGAAACGCTGAATGCACATCTGAAAATTAAATACACAAAAAAGATCCAGCACGTACAGTAATTTCTAGAAAATGTTGCTACGTCTTAAATCCGAATGGCAAGTGTACCATTATGTTCTTTAGGATGTGTGTGTGTGTGTGTGTGTGTGTGTTTACTTTGGCTACAGCGGTCTCCTAGAGTTCACTGTAGACAATTGCTGTTGTCCATAGAGTCATCCTTGTAAATTCTCTGCTGGCTTACGGGTGCTAACAAAATGCCTCTGTCTACTGTAGAATAGCAGAAACACTGGGGTATCTTTAGCTTAATGATTACTGGCACAAGGTTGCTCAAGATAGGAAGTCATAAAAATCTTCTGTTCAATTTTTGTCTGCCAGTAATGAGTCTTGTGGTTTGGTTGGTTGGTTGGTTGTTTTTAAGCTGTGGAAGGACGATTATGAGCATCATGCACTGAGCTTCAATTTAAGGCATTAGGGGGAACTTTTCTAAGACTTGTGTATCAGTCACCCTGCAGGCAAGAGTTCTTTGCCTGTTTGTCCAAGGACACGTCTGTGCTAGTCTGTGCTCTGGAAAGCTACCAGCAGTGTCACAGTGGTGGAACAGCTTAAGTTCAGTGCGTATGAGAACCCTTACAGTCATCCCCCACTGTTCCCAGGAGGAGATACCGTTAGCTTAGACTGAGCTTACATGGGAATAGCTCAAAATTCAGGATCTGTGTGTTTTCTCCAAAGAAGCTCTGCTAAAAAGGAGCTTTGCAGGGAAAGCGCTGGGGTCCCGTGAGGCAACAGTGTGTCCTTACACCAAAGAAGGCTAACAGGATGCTTTTCTGGATTAGCTGGAATACAGGCATCAGGCAGAGGGATTTGGTTCTTCCCCTCTATTCACCTCTTGTGAGATGACGTCTGAGGTACTGTTGTCCTGTCCTGGGCTCCCTAGTGCAAGAAGGGTGTGGACGTAGCGGGTGTAAGCCCATTAAGGGACAGCAGAGGTGGATGGGGGCTGGAGCACACGACCTTGAAGGAGAAGCTGAGAGAGCAGGGGTTGTTCAGATCAGAAGCTCTGGGGAGTGAAGACCTTAATGCTGTTCAGCCACCTAAATGAGAGGTTACAGAGAAGACAGAGACAGACTGTCCTTCAAGGCGCCTGGTGATAGGACAAGAACCAAGAGATGCAAGCTGCAGCATGGGAAATTCCAATTAGCGAGGAAGAACAGATTTTTCACCATGAATGTGCCAGATATTGGAACAGGGGCCCAGAGAGGTTGTGAAATCTCCTTTCTTGGAGGTATTAAACACTTGACTAGACAAACCCTAGCAAGCTGATCCAAATTGGCCCTGCTGGGCTTTGGGAAAGAAGCCGCCAGAGGCTAAACCTAAATCATGCTATGATGCTGTATTTTAGAATGAAGAGCTGCTTGGAATATAGGCAGGATCTTTTTAACACTAGTAACAGTTCATAGAATCATAGAATCACTAAGGTTGGAAAAGACCTCTAAGATCATGAAGTCCAACCTTCAACCCAACACCACCATGCCTACTAAACCATGTCCCAAAGTGCAATATCTACACGTTTTTTGAACACCTCCAGGGATGGTGACTCCACCACTTCCCTGGGCAGCCTGTTCCAATGCCTGATCACTCCTTCAGTAACGAATTTTTTCCTAATATCCAATCTAAATGTCCCCTGATGCAGCTGGAGGCCATTTACAGTTACACTGTTCCATTTAAATACTAATAGGCAGTATGTCAGGGTTTTTGCCTTGGCAGACAAGGTGGAACAAGATCAACCTGCTTGTTTTGGAAGCCTTTTGCATGTGGGAGTAATGTTGGTTTTAGCGGTTGGTATTCTCACTACAGAATGCAGCATCAAGATGATTTAGCAAAGAATGTATAGCCAATCAGTGGCTTTGTCTGGCCCATAATAAGGTTTTGTCTCACAATTGCTTCCCTCAGTCGACAGAACTGTTTCAAATGCCCGATTTTCCATAAATATCACATAAAGACAGGCCACTCTACAGAACACTGAGCCTTGGAGGAGCAACCACCAGCCACTGCCAAAGCCACTGGTATTAGGTTGTCCTCCTATGCATGAGATCGTCTTGCATGCCATGTTCCTCGCCATAGGTTAAGCAAAGTTCCATGCTATGTGCACATCTGGTGCTTTGCAAGGGTAGTTCATGGAACAATCAGACCTACCCTGGAGCAGCATGATATGACCAAGTGAATGTGAAATATCATCCGGGCAGCAGCTTGTGAAAGAAGACTCTCTGGCCACGTTGCTTTCCTTACTGGTTGACAGACTGATTAATCCACATTTGCTGATCAACAGATCAGGCAGCCCTTTCTTCTTCTCAGTGTCCTACAGAAAAAGGAGCTTTCCAAAGAGAAGGGGCAGAAGACCAGAGAAATGAAGCCCTGTGACATGAACATCAGTGATCTGGCATCCTGGCTTTTCTGACAAGAGTATGTAGATTTGCTGACCGGAGGGTGTCAAGGTATTTCTCCTAGGTCAGGACAAGAAAGCCAAATGGAAATAAACCCTTGGACGGAGTTAGGAACTTTCCTGGTGGTGAGGTTTGGGCTACCTGTTGTGCATTTGGCACTACTGAATTTGGAATGGGAAATACTGCCTCCCCATGCTCCCTGGCATAATTTTTTTTCTGAGATTGCCTGCTAAGTGGCCAGTTCATTTCTCATTCTTTGACTAACCCTGCTTTTCTGTAGTTGCATGTAGTGGAGATGTAATACTAACACCTTCCATGCCTTTCCAGGGTCACAATGCACCGGCCTGTTTAGCACCACTGTGCTGGGAGGCTCCTCCAGTGCCCCCAACCTCCAGGACTACGCACGCAGCCATGGCAAAAAGTTTGCCAGCAGCCTGACATACAAAGACGGTATGTGTGTTCCCTGTGCAGCAGGTGGTTTTTGGTGTGGACTTTGGTGTCTCAGGATGCTACTGAGGCAAAGACTTAGACTGCTAAGAAGAACGATAGTTGAACGTGTATATTCGCCGTATCTACAGTAATGCATTTTATCATATCCCAAGAAATTGTGATCCTTGCTAGGACAAGACAGGAGCTGACACTGTGCGAGGAGTTTTATGCTGATGTATGGTATTGCTGGGGTCTGATTTTGGTCTGACATTTTAATACTACTTGCTGTTGTGGAGGAGGATTTATTGGTCTAGATAGTAAATAGGTGTGTCTTGGTATGGAAATCCAGCACATCACATCATCTTGCTTAGCTTGGTTGTCTTGCTGATGCTAAATGAAGCTTTTGTGGAGACAGTAATCCTCACCCTATGGAAGATGGAGCCGTCCCAAAGGCAGAATGATATGCTTGGGACTGGATAAGACGGGTACTAGAGTAAGGCTGGACACAGAGAAGAGTGCAAGGTAGCTGTCGGAAAGCAAGTGTAATATGCCTGAAATGCTTGAGGTAAGTGGAATACTTGGATGAAGTACTGCAAAAGGATTGAAAAGTCTAGTTATTGTGCAATTCTGCAGAAACTGCCTAAAAGTTCAGCAAGACAAGGTAAAATGTATTTGGGTCATTAGTATAGATGTTGCCTGATATTAAGGGGTGTTGCCAGCTGCGCGTTGATCTGCAGTTGGTACTAGTGTGGTATGCATTGAGAAGCAGAGAGGGTGTTGCTATGTTCAAGGAAATTGCAGCACAGGGAACGACTGAGGTAACCTGGAGGAGATGGAGGGGTGTAACGCACAAGTGCAAGTGTCCATTGTGATCCCGATAAGGAAGGCACTCAGACTCTGTAAGTACTGATTAATATACAACTTCTTGGAACACTGAGTTCAGCAGCATTGAACAAACCACTCCATGGATAGGATCTGTGCAGTGTGCTGTGCCCTGGTTGGAAACCCACCTAATGTTGCACAGCTCGGGCTTCCCAGCATCTGAATGGATGTAAGATTATCTGTCTTCTCTTTTTCCTTTTTGTGTTAATTCTAACAAATGGTATTTTAATCAATACTTTACAGAGTCTGAGTGCCTTTCTTATTGGGATCATAATCAACACTAGTACTGGTGGATTACAAGGTGGGGAGATGCTTAAGGCAGTAATTTGGGGCCTTTGGGGAAAACAGGAGGTTGGTTCCTGTGGATTTTTGTCCAGTTTTGAGGCAAGGAAAATGGCCTAGCAGATCAGGGTGGAAAGCTGCTATCCAAGTCTCAGACCTATTGGAACTGCATGAATGCTGTCATGCTGAGACTGTTATGTGTACTGGCTTTCTGTGCTGCTTTTCACTGTGCAAGAGAAAACTGTCTTGCTTCTCAGCTCTGCAGGGAGCTCCCTAGCACACAATAGGCTGTGAGTGATAGAGACAGGAGGGTGAACTGGGAGGGTTTTAAACCCTGCTGTACCAGGCTGAGCTGCTCAGGGCAGCAAGTGCTGGCTACTGACAGGTCCCAGGGTGAGTGCGTGATGTTTGGCACATGATGGAGGTGTGAATACCAGGAGAGATGCTGAAAAGGCCAGCAAGGGCTCTGGCTGCTTTTCTTCCATAACTCTGCAAGCAGTGTGAATTCGAGGCAGCACTAATTCTCAGCGAAAAGCATCGAAGACTGCTTGCTCTGTACCCAGCTGGGAACAGAACAGAATATCCTCAATTCTGGTGCTGTGCTGCCTTTCTCTCTAGGCTGTGTAGTAGGAGCATGCCTGCAACTGGCTACTCGTATTCAAGGTGCAGACCAGAGTCCTGTTGCGTTAGCCTAAATTCGGTGACAAGGTCTCTGCATGCTGGGACGTGGTTGTACCCTCAAATACTTAAAAGGCAGACTTATTTAACTAGCATGTGGCTAACACAGCCCATGATTACTCATCTTGGTGTTATGCTTCTTTTTTCAAGTTTCTTAGTGTGCTATGGCACCCTGTGCAACCAACACCTTGCTGCAATAAGAGCAATTGTGAGGAAGAAGCGGGGGGACTGGGAAAACAAGTAGAAGGCAGAAGGGCATTTAGCTTCTGAGGAAGGTAGTTGGGAATGTGAAATAAGCCTTTGATCTGCATGTTCCTGCTTAAATGAGCACCAGTGAAATACTGAACAATGGCATTTAAACCAAACATCACAAGAGCTGAATATAGTAAATGACACAGCAGCTACAGCAGACTCTTGGAGTACATTTGTATCAAGGCCTTTTTCATAGTCATCAGGCTAATCATGTTTAAAAACCTTCAGACTCTGGAGCACATCTTTGCATGAACTCTGATCATGGCTGTGATGCTTGAAGGTGTGATGCATGGCTTATAGCACTTCATCAAAGACTTGCTCAAGTGAAGTTAAAATGGCCCTTATTTGTGAAGTCTTTTTAGCTTGGGGCTGGAAGAGGGCTAAGGAACAATTCCATGGAAGGTTATGTCACAGCCTCAGGTTGAGGGAAGGTCTGATGATGGTGATGTTTTGAAGTTGGCTTGTCTGAAGCCAGGGATCCAGTAAGCTATGCTGCAGTACCATTTAAATTGCTGCGCTGTCAAGGCAAGGGGGGGACATGGGATGGAATGGAAATGGTTACCAGCTGGCTGAGTGCAGCTCCGGGACGTGGATACTTCTAAGGGACTGCATATATAAGGAAGCTTGTCAGGCTCCATTTGTTGAGTTTAAAGAAAGAAAAACACATTTTAGGGCTGTTATGCTGGGGAAGGAAGTAGCAGCAAGTTTGAGAGTTGGTTTAAATATATTATTTGGCCAAGTCAGTGGGTGTAGCTAGAGAAGCACAATGGGGGTGTGAAGCATAAATTGATATGTATATCTCTTAACCTTGGTGTACAGGGATAGGCATATAGACCCTATAAACTAGGTAGAACAGTTGCATGAAACATGAAAGTGAAATAAAAATAGTCCATAAAAGTTCCTAAATAGCAGCAAAAGGTATGATTGGCTGGGGTCTCTCATCAAATCCTGTGTGCAGATGATCTGTTCTAGGCCATTCTTTCCCATGATAGCTGAGGAATTTGCCGAGTGGGAATAAACTGAAGGTTTCACCTTTTTTTTTCCTGCCCTTTTTTTTTTTTTGATTTGAGCACATGGAGACTAATCCATGTCTTTTAAAGCTCATCTGTTTGCACCTCATTAGATGCCTAGAGTCTGTCCTTGCACTGTCTTTCCGATGTGTGATTTCTATGGGAGAGCTTGGCCTGGCCTGGGACATGGCCATGAGAAGCCCGAGGACCAGCCTGACAGGTGTATCCCAAAACTTCTTCTGTACTGAAGGGCTTTGAGCATCAGAACTGTAGCAGCATGTCTTCATGGGTCTTCCATGGCTGTGTGGTCCTAGTTGCCGGCTGCTCGCTTAAACCACAAAAGTCCCCTAATTAGTTAGTTGATTTAGCTTTAAACTCATAAATAGCTCTGTCTAGCTTGCATTAAGAGGGTGTTTTGAGCCGCACTTACCTATGCCAGGGCTTTTCAGTTCCTCTGCAGAACATCTGTCATTTTCCTTGGGCAGAGGTTAGTCTTGAGAACCGTCCTCCTGCAGTGCTGCTGGTTCCTCAGCCATGTGCTCTGGTGGCTGTGAGCATGGCCTAACTGCGTCTTGCACCGGACTGAGCCTGCGCGGCCCTCAGGATGGCTGGCAGTGTGGTGGGGACGTATGAGATGCTGTCTGTGACTGAGAGAGTGTGGCCGAGGTCTTTGTAGTGTCAGGGGAGACCCTGGCAGGGCAGAGCAGGGGAAGTCGGGACCAGCAGACTACGAGAAGCCACGAGGTTCAGTCAGACCCGCAGGCAGAGAGTGCCCGGGGTGCAACAGCAGTGCTGACGTGCGCATGTGTTAGGGGGGTCAAGCAGAAGGTGAACCTGAAAAGGCAGTTGCAAGCATATGAAGGTTGGGGGATCCTTAGAAGCAGGCTGTTAACTGAGACGATCTGTTTTTATTTCCTCAGAGCTCTTGTCTATGCCAGCCGTAAAACGATTTTCTGTGTCGTTTGCAAAGCATCCGACTAATGGTACGTTTGCTTCCTTGATTTGACGTTCCCTCACACTTCTAACCCCATGCTCACATTCAGTTGTCTCTGCACGTGTTCTTCTCTCAGCCTTCTTGTGGTTGTTTTGTGTCTGTGTATCTGGTGTCCAAACATGCTTTACCTTCCCCCATTGTCTCATTGTGACTAACTTCTTCGTTCATTCTCTGTTACTGCTCAGTGGTTCCTCTGCTGCCTCCCAAGGCATTTGTGTCCCAGGTGAAAAAGCAAGAGCCCTGGCTCTGTGAATGGACTCCTACAGCAGCCTTTAATTCCACTGCTAACATTAGGCCTTCTTTCGTGCTCCTTTTTTTGGGGGTGGGGGTTGGAGGAAGAATACCATTGGATTTGGGGGGCTTGGAGGGAAATCCACTCCGTATTCTATAAGAGCATCAGCAGCTTAGGTCCTCAGTTTTTACAATGCAGATTTGCAGGACCAAAGCAAGGATAGCCTGAGGCTACCTGTGTGTCACCTGGAAGAGCGCAGTCTTCGGTGGGAGAGAAGGAGGTGCTAACAGCATTCCCTCTGCGCATGGTATTCTTCAGCACAGTCGCCCTAGGAGTACTGGTAACCTCATGGCCTCCTATTTGCAAAAACTTGTCTGTTAGGGTGGTCCCTTGGTTACTCCAAGCATGGTGGTGTTGGTGGGAGTAGGCTCACCTTTCCTGCAGACATTAACCTGGGAATGGTGTCTCTCCAGAACTTTCACTCATCTGCTGTTTGGTGGACAATGCTGCCTTCCTGAGGTTGGAGGGCTTCGGCACCATGGCACCAAGGGCGATGTAACCTGCTTCACTCCTGTCGTGCTAGTAGCTATGAAGAGGCTTGGTAAAGGATGTCTGACAGTGCTTATGTTTACTCACGATCTCTGCTTCATATTGCTACTAACCTAACACCTGAACCGTGAGTCGTTCGAGGTTAAAGACCACTAGCTCTGTTGTAGCAGATGCCTTGAACCAGTGTTTACTATCCAAGTCTTGCATAGAAACTTTTGGAAAAGTTTGTTTCACAGCACCACTCCTACCTCATGGCTCCTGCTGATGAGCCAAGTTAGAACCAAAGCAGATCACTGAAAGATATCAAGCTAAGTATTTCTGTCTTACGTGATCAAGGCTGCTTTTGCAATCTTGTTGCTTGGTAAATATGAAGATACTCTGCTTTGCATGATCTAGAAGATGAAAACTGTTCAGAAGACTGTTATGAAGACCAAAGTTTTGGGAAAGATGAAAGGGGAAGGGGCAGCAAAATGTGGCTTTATTGTTTCGAATATCTGAAGGGAACCTATTTTCTGTGTTTGCTCAGTCTTGTTTTTCCCAGAGTGGCCAACTGCTCTATTTGTTTATATGTCTGGATACCATCTGAGCTCGCATGGTGTATGTCAGCAGGATGTGTCATTCTATCTTGCCAGAGAAACTTGTACCAAGCACCAGTCTTTCCTAAGCCACACTGTAAAGCAACTGCCCCCATCCCAAATGCAGTAAAGTGAAACTGGGCATCAGTTTTTTCCCAAGAACCCTGTGAATATTTGTAATGGCAAAGTGCTGCTTAATCAAGAAAACAAAGACAGACGTCCAGCAGGTGTGAGCTTGAAGTAAGGCATATTTGGTCTAGCTTTGGCACTGGTTTTTGCAGGAAAGATGTTTAGCCATGTGAACCACTTGCCTGAGGATGCAAAAGCTATTCACAGCTCTGAATCTGGATTTTGTTTCTGAAGAGCTGCCTCTGCGTGGTGAAATGGGATGGGTGAACCAGAGCAGTGGCCAAGCACAGCGTTAGGCCAGATGCTTTATGCCCTGTCTTGTGAGTCTTGGGAGTGTGATATGAGTCCTGAGGCTGTGTACGTGGGGCAGAAGACATGTCTGCATGCTAGTATCTTGTCTGCTGTGTGAGGATATCACAGAAGATTGCACAGGGCTGTTCTGAGAGTCTAGAGAGGGGACGTCAGCACCTCTGTGCCCACTCTGTTCTTCCGCACTCTAAGCACTATGCTCTCAGTCAAACCCTGCTCTCCGCCAGTGTCCTTTTCACAGCTTCCAGTCTTCTGATGCTGGGTCATTTGCTCTCTTCCATGTGCTGGGGTGGCTGGCTATGCTTGGACACAGGACTCGAATGCTCTGTTGGCAGTCTGGATTTCTTGTCTCCACTGGGGGAGGGCGAGTGTGGAGCCTGACCTTCTTACCTAGACAAACCTGAACTGTATTGGAATTGGAACGTGTCCTAAAATTTATTCACTTGTCAGACTTTCACTTACAAAGATGAAACCTTGCTGCTCAGGGACTGTCCCTGCGCTGCAGCTATGGTTGGCAAAGGCTGGGCCAGATGGGAGGCTGGTCGGCTGCGGTGTACTGGGGGTATGGCAATCTAAGGGTACTCCTGACCTGCTTGCTGGGGGAGGGACTGGGCTTCAGCATGTGGTGTGAGTCTTTCCCACTCAGCAGCCCTGGTGTTGGCAGCTCCATTCCCACACCTCCACAATTTCTCTGTCTCCAGCTGCACCTGCCCCTCTCCTCTCACTCTGTGGCCCCCTTTCCTCCAGATGCATTTGATCACCACCACGTTGCCCAGTTGCTGCGCCGTTTTTCCTCTGACTATGCCACGAGCCAGAACATCTCGCTGGATGCTGCTCTAGCCCACCACCTCCAGCAGTGCTCTTACCACCTGCGCCTCTTCAGGAGCTGGCTGATCTCAGGGCAGGATGACTTGGAGTGTCTTCACGGTACTGCACGCCGCAGCTGCCTTGGTCCCATGCTCCTGTAGCTGAGCAGGGACCACTGTCTGCTTGAGAATGCAAAGTATGCTTTGCTTCTAAAAAAGGAAAGCGTTTCCCTCACCGCATCCCTGAAATCTCTGGGCTGCTGCTGCAGCAAGCTGTGTGGGCTGTTGCACCTGGCAGTTCTGGAGCCTTAGGCAGCAGCCTTTCCACGTGGAGCCAGTGCTCTTTGTGGGGCTGCAATTGTGCTCTTTCCATCTTCAGCAATTGTTCGTTGCCTCCTTCCTTTAGCCAGGGTAAACCCTTAAGCTTCCTTCAGATTAGATGCTGAGCTCCTGCTGCTGTGATGCCCTGCTGACATGATCCCCCTGTGCAGGTCTCCAGGGGGTGCCACGAGGTGTCCCGTTATTAATGGAAAAAACCAAAGTGAATAGTAAGAGTATGGGAAGAAAGAAGGTTAAGAAGGTGCTGCAGCTGGTCACATGCTGAGTGAACTTGCTGTGGAAGTTTTGGGGAAGTGAGTGCTTGTGGAATTGTGTTGTTTCTAGAGAGACCAAGTTAAGATAGGGTAGAAACTGAGCTTCCATGTGGCTGCATTGCATGGCATCTGTTTTGCCAGTTAGGACCTCTGCAACATGTCATGTCTCTGGTGGGAAGAGGTAGGCGATTTCAGTATTGAATCTAGAGGTTATAAATTAAAGCTTGCTACCGTTTCTCTGATATTTTTCAGACTCTGGCACAGATGGGAAGTCTGATGCATTGAGGTCTCAGTGTTTCGAAGACAAGTGGAAAGATTCCCCTCTGAGAGGGGCATCTAGCTAGGGCCGGCTGTTAATGTTTACCTTGCACCATAAAACCTGCTTGGTGCATGCGGCTTGCTGAGCTGTGTGGTGTGATGCATGAACCTTCCTTTTTCATTCAGACCCATAGGTGGAAGGGGATTCTTGTAGTGAAGCAACAAGATCAAGCATTTTAAGAGCCTGGAAGAGAGAATGTTTCTTACAGAGTCTGTTTTTTCTTGCTGTGGCCCTTTCTGTCAAGTAGGCAATTTGGAGATGGCAGTTACTTTTCATATATAATTAGGACAATCCTTGGTCTCTTAGCAACAAATACGAAAGAGGAGCAAAATTGCTTCAAGGGAAGAGATGCTGGAACACGGCAGACTGCTCCAAAACCAAAGATGAGCTTCCCCTGCTGGAGATCTGGGCCATCTCCTGTGAGCTCCGGTAGAGAGAGGCAATGAACTTCAGTGCTTTGGGCAGCGATACGCCAAATATTGCAGCATGGTGCTGGGTGGTGCAGCCTTCCCTGATGCAGCCAAACATATGAGTTACATCCCTCAGCATAGCAGCCTTCCTGTGTGGAAGTCAAATCTCTGCAGTCAGTGAGTTTTTTCTTGCTGTTTTCTCAGTCTGTCATCAAGCTCACAGTTAATTAGCGTGTTTGGGATTCCTGCTGGGGTTCTTCTCAGAGCAGGCGTGTCTCTGGTCTCTGTAGCTGACAGCCCAACTTCCCCCCCCATGAAAACTACATACTCCTATCCTCTCTGTCTTGGTTTACAACCGTCCTTCTATCCACACAAAGGAAACATTAATTAAAAGATAGAATCAGGGAGTTAAAAGTATGCAGTTGGCATCCTTAGTTGGAAAGATCAACGGCGGAGCCCTGAAGCAATGTGTTTCGGAACCTGTGCTTATCTGTGTGGTCATAGCTGGAAAAAAAAAAGAGTGTGAAGTAGGTTCATGTTGGTAATGAATTACAGTGGTGCCGAAGCCAAAGGTCAGCTGTGAAGAAACAGAGAATGACCCCGTGATAATGAGTGGGAGTAAACCAGCAGGTAATGTTCAGTGTAAATATAAATTTAAATGACAAGGGAAAACGGCCTCAAATTCATATATAAAATGGTGGGCTCTGATTTGACCATCACCACTTGGGATGATGTGGAAAAGGTAGAAATTTGCAGTCTGGGAAAGATGTCTGTGACAGGAGTTGGAATGGCCTGGAGAGGGGTGGTGGGGATCCACAGTTCAATGTCTATTCCAGTACTGGGGCTAGGAGTTTCTAATGGAGTGAGTAGAGGCAGCTTCAGACAGAAGTGATTTTTTTCATGCAGAGTGAAACTCCTTACCATGGTACATGGGGTGTTAGGAGCTTAACTGAGTTCAAGGGGAGACTGGAGAATATGGAAGAGACACATCAGGTTCAGAGCAGTTCTGAGCCACAGGTCACTGGAGCTTGGGGGACTGCGTGGGGGAAGAGGCACTACATGCTGTCTAGTCTGGCACCCCTTCTTTCATAGCTGCTGCTGGCACTGTGGGCGGAGAGGTGCTGGACTAGGATGTACCTTCAGGCTGACTGTACAGGCATAAATTTAGAAAGGCTGGTTAGCACAATCCTAGTTCACGTACATATCGTGTGCATATATAAACACGTACAAATATACGTGGCTTTTTGGAGCTCTCCCAACACAATAAGGCTGGACTGACCAAGCATGTTGGAGAGGAACTTGCTGAGTGTGCTTTCTCCTGTGCCCTTCAGAATTTGTGCTGAGACTGGGCAAGCGCTTCTTTACTCCAGAAGAGCTGACATACAGACTTTTGGTGTACAGACCCTTCAGGGATGTGCCAGGTGCCCTTGGTCTGCCTGCTGCTTTCAGGATCTCCATTAGAAAGGAACAGGTGCTGTCTCCACTCCAGTGCAGAGTTCACAGCTGGAGAGCTGGGTAGTAAATCGGCAACTTTTGCTAATCAAATTATGTGTAGTAACATTCAGAACTCTCAGGCAAAAATATAATACACAAAAAGGATTGCTTTGGACCAGAAGGACTTCTCACCTGAGTCTTCCTTGGGCCCTGTCTTTGTCTGTTGGCTGACAGCAGTTTGGCTGCTTTCAACTTGCTAGCCTGCTGCAGCAGTAAGTACGTTCTCTCTTTTAACGAGCCCCCTGTGCTAGCAGAGAAGCTTGCCGTATTTGGGACCTCAGCTCAATCTTAGTAAAGCTGAGGAATATGCCATTTGCACTACTTGAGGACTGCTCTTTGTCATGCCCACTAGCCAGGCAGTCTGCTGGCTTCCCGGTAATCTACTGAATTACCAGCTCTGAGGGATAATCACACCAACACTGATGTCATTCCAGGGGGTGCACGTGTTCCGTATAAAATCAACTTTCCTAACTTTTATTACCAGTAAGCTTTCTTCTTGTCTCCTTGGGACATACATAGAATTTAGGAAAATTTGTGTTACCTTGATCCAGATTAGATGCTTCCTCTTCATGAACTGGTATTGATTTCCTCTTGAAGGTTTAGACTGGGACATCTCCTACAGTAGTCAAGAAGATGCAAATGAATTCAAGGTCTTGTTTTCTCCCGTATTCTTCCACTTTCCCAGTATGAAAATATGCTTATTTTAGTTCTGCTGCTAATACCTTTGGTTGAATTTTCTTTCAGACCTCAGGGTGACTGAAGGAGATATAGCTAAATGGATGAAAGTACCCATTACATCTGCAGTGAAAGAGCGGTAGGGTAACACAGCATGTAGGGTTCATTCAGAGATCTGTAATGTATTTGATTGGCGTTCAAGCCATTTAATGATAAAGTAGCTGTTGGCTATTTCAGAATTCATCACTGGGTAGTGCAGACTCTTTCATTGAGGTCATCTGCTAAAAGGTAGCTGTTCACAAGAGTTTTATCTGTGTGTTCCTGCTGCCTACTGGAGTCTCCTAGAAATCTGGGATTCTCCCGTTCAGATGAAAGATGTGAGACAGGTGCAGGTCTCCATTTGCTTTAAACGATACAGCGTGCTAGATGATCTCTGTAAAAGGGTCCTTAAATCACCTTCTTAATATTCTTATGAAGTGTTGTGTGTCGGTACTAGGCAGCTCTGAAAGCGTCTTGCTCTAAGGAGAGAGTCACTCCCTCCTTCAGTGTCTGGAAGACTTCATAAACTGTGATTATGCTGAGCAGACTCTGACAGTGTGCAGTAAAGTGTGCACATGCCAAGAACTTGAAGCTCCTGGGAGAAGAGCTCAAAGTGGAACATCATTAGCGCTAAGGGGGTGGGCCTTCAGCTTTGGCATCAGTGTGCCTGGGAGAGTCAAAACAGGGCTTGTAATCCTCGAGCTGGATACTGCCTCTGGTGAGGTCACCTGTGGAATGGCTCTTCAGGCAGTACCATTCTCTCGGCTGCTGTGTCAGGATGCTGCTGCATTACTGATTCAGAGTGGAGATTCCCCCATAGCTGCTTCCCCACATGACAGAGTCTCCTGGACATCCAAAGTAATATATACTCAGCAGATTCCTCTGCCTTGTGTATCTTAAGTTTTTTTCCCATAACCAAATCTTGTTTCCTTTACTCTAACAGATGGTTTCTTCCTGTTTTACCAAACAAAAATTTTGGAGCCATAACCATGCTGTACTCCTTGCCCAGAGAAGGTTGCAGTTGACCTTGGGATTCATTTTTAGTTACTGTAGTCTGCAGACCGCCCCCCCCACCACGTGCCTTTGCCTGCCAGGCAGGCGTCACTGTGGAGGAAGCAGATTGCCCTCTGCATCCCTAATGCAGCTAGTGTGGTCAAACTTGAATGAGACGAAAAATGAAACTTGTTCCTCTGTGGGCTGCTGTTTGACTTTGGTACAAAATGAATGGAATTCTGCCTTAATTTCTTGCGCCATTGTCGGCATCACAGGCTCCTGCTCTGCAGGTCCCGGGAAAAGAGTTTCGGGAAGCATCAGCAGTAGCCAAGTGGTCAGCACTGGGTGACTGTTGGCCTGGAAAGGTTCCTGTGGTTTGCACTCATGGTTTATTTTCATTGCCCCTTCTCACAGATATCGGTTCTTTGCTAAATGTGCGTGGTGCAGCAGTGGTCAGAGCCTTTGCTGGGGACTCTGGCTGCTGCTGTGATACGTGTAAGGATGTTGCAGCAACTTCTGCTTTGGCTCTACACTGGAGGCATGAGACTGCCATTGCTGGCCTCTCCCCAGCGGCTAAGCAGGTCAAGGGAGGCGTGCAGGGAATTGAGCTGCCATAGACAAATGAGAGGGATTCCTTGAAAAGAGTAGTGCTTCACCTTGAGATGGGAAACTTTTGCCTATTTCTCTACTTTCTTGAGACTGGCTAAGTGACATAGTGCTGAGCAGAGCTGTGTGAGCAGGCATTTGTCACTTTGGGGATATAAGTGTATCATTTCACATCAGCAGCGTTGTCGGTGTTCCATGTTTCCTTTAACCCTGTACCTTTCATTTCCTTTTTTTATTGGAGGAGTGCCCAAGCCCTCAGATCCTCATCAGTGCCTCCAGTCTATCTCATAACTATGTTGCTTTGCCCTATGTTATATTCAAACTTCTTCCCCTTTTCTTTGGAGACCCCAGTAGCTAAGCCAGCTTTGCCCCCTCTTAAACGAGTTGTGAAATGAGATTAGCCTTATCCTGTGCTGCTTCACAACCATCTCCACGTGGCTATCTCCACATGGCTGTTCACTAAGTCCTGCCCTCACACTTTTCCTTTGGCTCTGTTTCCCAGAAAGCCTATGAGAAAATAATGAACAGATACTCTTCCTTATTCAGCACTTCCACTGTAAGGACTTCTCAGCAAGGGACAGAAGAGTATGGTATTCTTCCTGTGTCTTGCATTCCTTTGTCCTAACCAAGGATTTATTATGCCTTGAATTGGCGTTTGGAGGCCCTTTGTGGCATAGGTAACCTCTCTGGACTGTCTGGAGGGTTTTGTCTCCAGTAGCTGTTACAGCAGTGAATGTCTCTGCAGCACTGCAAACTGGTGATGACCTGGTCTGCAGCTTCCTCATACTGCATGTGGATTCACTCTAAATACCATCTGCTGGCTCATGCTCCTTGCGTTTTGTAGAACTGGGTTAGTTGAGCGGATTGGAGCAGAGACTGTCCTAGAGGTGACTAGAACAACGACTACGCCTAGCAGATAATCCAGGTGCTCTAGGTCTTCTCCTTAGGTGCTGTCAATCTGCAGGGATGAGTTTTACCCTGTCAATGTGCTGGGCAACAATCCTGACACAGTAATGCATCAAGTGCTGTTGTACTTTTTGCGCCTCGGAGTAATTTCCCTTCTCTGTGGGAACAAACCAAATTTCTTCCCAGGGTATTTTTTAGCTCCCTGGAGGGAGCTAGGGAGTCACAGAATGGGAAGCCGAAGCTTAAGAAGTTTAGAGGCATTTAAACTCAAGAGGCACAGAGCAGGAGGAGGCCTCATTCCCATATGCCCAGAGACTCATTTGTTTCTTCCTTGCTCCTCTGACAGTTTCGGACTGGCTTGGTGCCACAAAGCATTGCCGAGAAGCTTTGATGAAGAGGAAGATGCTTTGCCGTAATACTCTGCTGGCTTGAGTAGCAAAGAAGTTACTGTGAATGGTTGTCATGCAGCTTAGCTCTGAGCAAGTGTCTGTTAAATGTTGAGATACCTTTTTCTACTAATTCTGGGCTTGCTGGCAGTGAAGTCTTGTTAAGGGGACAAATAATTCAAACTGTTGCCCAGCCCCTCCTTGGGAGACAGTCTGTCAGGTGTACACTGGAGGGTCTGCTGTGAGAGAGGGAGGTTCTGCTGCTCCCTACATTTGCAGCAGTGGGCCCTGCGTCACTGATGGGGAGAGGATGGGCTGTGTCCCAGGCTGGGGGGGTCACTAGTGGTGGGAGTCCTTTCACGGAAATTCAGTTGACTTCACTCAAATTCCATTTAGCTTCTGTAAAGTGTGGGGCACTGTACCAAGTTCTTCATCATAAACATATATTTTATCAAAAGGGTCACAGGCTTTGCAGCAAACACAACTGCTGCTAGATACATTTCCTCCTCTTCCCTCTCTTTCTGCGTGTGCCTGAATGCTTGCTTTCAGGTCTGTTACTGCATGTGATTGCCTAGTGGTGATTTTCTTGGCTTAGAAGAGGTGACCGTAGACCTGAGTGTGCCTGTTGTTTGATTCTTAGGCTCCCCGGCTCCTTCAGCCATGAGTGGTCCTGCATGGATTTACGTTGCTGTTTGCTCTATTCATTTTCTGATTGGCTTTATTTCCAGGTTTTGAAGGCTGTTCCATGGTTCCCACCATTTATCCCCTGGAGACCCTGCACAACTCCCTCTCTTTGCGACAGGTCAACGAGTTCCTGACGGCTGTGTGCAGGAGTTGCAGCGAATCGCATGTCCAGTCTACTGCAGGTACTGGTGAGGTGGGCTTTTCTGTGGGTAAGCCAGAACAGAGGTGAGGCAAGGAGACCTTTTGGTCTTTTACATTATCGGGACAGATCAACCTGACAGGACTGGCAATAAGCACAGTCTCTGAAGCCTGTTCCAGGGTCTTTTAGCCCAGGAGTGAGCTATGGGATCCCGCTCAGAGCTATACTAGGCCACTTACTTGAGAGACAAGTAATCAGTCAGGTCTGTCTGTGGCTAACAAGTACAGCGACGGGGATACAAACTCCAGCTTGGGAAATCTTAGCCTCACATTCCCAGGAGCTGCGGGACAGGCATGGGTCTGAATTTGCACTGTTCTTGAGCTCTTCCCAGAGTGCCTGCTCGTCACGCTGCTGGGCTACAAGCCATTCCTTTATGTCTGTCTGAATATTACTAATTTGTGTATTTTTTTTTCTTGAAGCATTGTTTGATTCAATGATTGGCAGCCAGATATCAGGAGACCCCTTTATGTCTCAGCGAATCCTGTCATCATCCTCTTTGCCATTGCGCCAGCGTTCAGATAAGCCCCCTTGGTGTGAGTGAGCTCCTTTCTTGATCAATGTGATGGTGAGGGAGGGAAATGAAGGGTGCCACATGGTGGAAGCCAAGTATTGGTGCTCAGAGTTTCTGTGCTCTGCCCTTGAAGGAACAGAAACAGAAAGAGGAAATAGGTAAAAGGGAAAGTAGTCATAGGTGAAAAAGCTTCCAAAGAAACATGCAAAAAGGGACTTTCTGTAGTATTCCGTATCATGGGGACATCTACTGTTGGATGGATGCTGTCTCTGCAGACATCCTCTGCTTTGTGTGCTAGGACATGGAGGGCCTGAATGCACTTCATTTTCGTCTCAAGTTTTGTGATTCTCCCTGACACATGGCCAGCACAGTGTTGGCATGTGGAAATGCCTTCCGTTCCTAACCAGCCACATACTTGCCTCACCCAGAACTCCGTATAGGACAGCCGATGGTTTAGTTCTTCACTTACAGGCTTTTCTGCAGCTCCTGTGCCTCACTTGTCACAGTCTCTACAGAGCTGGTGACTGTTGTTAGTCCTCTTTGCAGATCTGACTGGAACTTGGAGAGGAAAGGGTTAACCAACAGTTGCACAGCAAGTGCCTTAATAACACAAGTCAAAATTGCCACTGAAAGAGCAGTCCTGCTCTTCTCCTGGCTGTATACTCCTTGTGCCAGGAGTAGTGTGTGTTTGTGTGGGCAGCAAGGTCAGAGAACTGATCTGACTGAAAACAGTTGTTTAATCCTCCCCTGTTTATTGGATTAGATGTAATTTAGATCTGTTCTCTAGTTTTGCTAGAATAAGCATTAGTGGACAAGGAATATTTCTTCTTCCAGTGGTGACTCTAGCTCAACATTCAGGGATTGTGTATATCAGGAACCAAGAGGAGCAAAGTTGAAGCTAACAGTGTTCCATAATAATGAGGGAAGAAAAGAAACTGCTTGTCAGCTGAAAGCCCAACATTACATTTCACATTTTGCTCTACAGTGACAACAGTATCCACTATTGGCTATATGCCAACATAGCACTGTGTGACAAGATGTGTGGTGTTTGTGTTTGGGTTTTCGTCAGCTGAGCTCCCAGAAACACACCGAAGAGCAGCTGCAAGCCCCTGTCATGTTGCATGGCATGGAGACAGCCCTCCCCCATTGGTTGTAGAACTGTGGGGCTGCGACAGCTTGGGTCTGCCCAGGTTTTGGGTGGGGGAAATACCAGCTAAATGTTTAAGATTTTTCTTCCTCTTTGCAGACAGCAGCGGCCCCTCCAGTACTGTCTCCAGTGCAGGCCCATCCTCCCCAACCTCTGTGGACAACTGCGCTCGTTTCAACTTCACTGAGAAACTTGCCATCAGTCCCCCAAAAAGTGAGGAGCAGCTGACTAGCCAGTGCCCTGAGCAAGGAGAGCAACAGCCTCCGGGCAGAGGGCTTGACGTGGAGGGGGGGATGTCTGGGTTGTTGGTGACAGAGCCAAGTGCCCCAGAGACCCTGGTGTGGAATCAGGACCCAGAGCCAGCCAGTGTCCTGGAGCTGTGCAAGGAGGAGCTGGCAGAGGAGGACTCTAACCCAGAGGAGAAGAGCATGGTGGAGCTGGATGAAGAAGAATCAGCTGGGGAAATGTTAGAGCCAAGTAACACAGGGAACCCACAATGTGGTGCAGGCTCTGAGATAAGGCTGGCTGGGGAGGGAGTGAAGCCAGGTGAGGGGTGCACAGGGGGAGTGGCTGGCCTTGATCCACCAGGGCTGTCCAAGGGGATCTTGGTGCCCTGTGAAGAGGAGCTGCTGGGAGAGGTGTTGGACCCGGAGCATATGGGCAAGAAGGTGCTAGGGGACAGTGCTGTGTCAGGCCAGTTTCTGTCTGGTCACCCGTGCCAGGTGCAGCCACTGCCTCCTGAGAAGAGTGTGGAGGAGCTGCCGGTGCTGTGTTGGGAGGATCAGCAGAATTAGCAGCTCACTGGACAGCACACTGCAATTGCTTCTAGCCTGGGGGCAGCCCAGCTTCGTGCACAGCACCCATGCAGCTGGCTGGCCACAGCACCGAACAAGCCATGTCCCAAGGCCACAGGACCCTGGGGTATGGAAGAGTCTGCTCTGCTCCTTCACAAGCCATCTCTTTGCCATTCGGCAAGAGACAATACCCCATTGGCCTTGTGAAATGAACAACAAACGCAGTCTTGGTACTGGCATGGCACCTCCATGGAGCAGGGACGCGGGGCTGCATTGGTGTCCCAAGGGCTGTATGCTTGCTGGGACAGCTGAGCTGGAGGATTGGTACAGCCAAGGCTTTTGGCGTGGTATGTCCAAAGGGGACAGATGCTCCCTTGAGATTTTTTGGCCCATAGCCTTCAGGGAAGGGCATTCTGGGCCCAAAGTAATCAGATCCATCACAACCACCAACCTCCTCTCTGTTCCTTCCTTCTTCCTCTCTCAGTTCCCACCACTGGCCACCATAAAGGGGTCCAGAGAGTCCAGGGCAGAGAGACTAGGAAAAGCAGAAAGCGTTCTGAGTGAGTGTGGGAAGGAGAGTAATGAGGGGATCAGGTTCAGGACTGCTGCTTGCAAGAAAACGTGTCTTTGGCGTGGCCTTGGAATGTTTTCCTGCTGGGCTGGGGCAGGCGGGCAGGAGCCTGGGGATCCAGCCTGAGAGAGGTGGGCAGGGAGGACACACACGGGTTTTTTTTCTAGTCCCCAAGGGTCAGGCAGGGTACAGCTCTGAAGTCTTGGTGACAGAAATTAAAAGAAACTGCTATTTGAACAAATCAGGATTATTAGAAACCAATAAGGAGAAATCTTTATTATATGTAAAATGAAAAGTATTTAATACATATTTATGTAAATGACTTGTGAGCACAAACCTGGGGGCAAGATTGACACGAGTGGCCCTGCTGCATCCTGAGTGCAGGCCAGGGCTGTGCCTCCTGCACCTCCTGTGTTTATGGACAAGTCTGCGTGTTTGTCTGTAGCTAGGATCTGTGTTTTTGTGAAGCTGTGCCCAAAGATCTCCACGCTGTGTTGTGATGATGTGCGTTCACAGTAAATCTATGCTGTGGGTCTGGCGTCTCTCTGTCTCTCAGGCTGACTTGTGCAGCAGTGTGTGTGTGTCCGAGCTTGCAGGTGCCCAGTACAGCAAGCCCTGCTCGTTGTCCACCATCCTGGAAGGGGAACTGTGGGTGAAGTCACAACTGAAGTGAGTGCACAGGCGTGGGCCTTTGCTCAGGAAGGCCAGGTATTTCCCTCCCCTGGTCATGCTGGAGAAGAGGTCCTGGCTTCCCAGGGTGGTATTGCAGTAGAACGAAGACGCTTGGGCAGTGTCTTTGGCTCCTTTCACTTGCTCCACACCTCCTTGTCAGGTCCAAGCACGTCCTGCGTACTGTGTCCTCTTCCTCATGCCTGATAATCCCCAGCTGCAGTTTGGGTATTTAAGAAAGGTCACATTTACTTGCACTTGAAATGCAGCAGTGGTACGGCTGCCTCCAGTGCAGCACTGTGCCAGGAGGGAGCCTGGCCCCCTCCTCACAGGGCTGTGCCAGCCTGCTCTCCTGAGGACGTGTGCCGGGCTCTGGGAGAAGGGGCTGCCTCCTGCACTAAGGCAGCTCTGGCTTTCATTGGCAACCCTGCATTGAAGACCTGGAAGGACAGACACCCTGGCTGGCGGCTGC